AAGGATATTAATGTTATGTCATAGCTATATATCTGTAGGTCTAACGCAACAAAATTCCCTTATTTTGATCGCTCAATCTTATTTACATTAAATTGCACCCCTTCCCCAAACAAAATAGCAACACCTCTGGCATTTGACGCATTATGGCTGAAAAAACAATTATCTCCCCAAAATCGTTTTATAGAAGCTTCTTCCTCAGCTACAAAATGTGTATCTTGCAAGCAACATATTTGGAATTTTTTTTAACTAATGAATAATATTAACTAATGAATAATTAGAGAACAAACTTACCCTGTCAGCTCCAGGATTTGTAGAAATTCCCTGCACGGTGTGAAAGGTCGTGCCATCAGTACTACAAGCAAGCTTGTAGCTTGTAACCCACTGGCTTACATCTTCTCGCCCTTGAGTCGCAACTGAAATGACACGGTAAAGGTCCAAAAGATCCACCTTGTAGAAAGAAAAGAATGGGACGAAGAATTCTTGATGTTTATCCTCATATTCATCTAATTTGTCTATCTCCATGAGAAAACTTTTAACCAATGATCATGCACCTATCAATGAATTTACCTTGCTTTCATACAGTTTAGCTCATCAATTACGTAACTATTGTAATCTTATAGTAGCTATACCTAAAGAGAGGAGAAATAAATCTACAAACCCGTAAGTCACCTCAAAAATTGGCGGGAAAAAAAATTGTACGGTGTAAGTGACTTTTTCATTACTGACATGGTGGCAGCGGTGGGATATGAATCCATGGTATAGAAATGACTGGTGACTCTTTCATTAATGACCTGGTGGTAGCGGTGGGATATGAAAACATGGTATAGAAATGACTGGTGACTCTTTTATTGCTGAAATGGTGACAGCGGTGGGATATGAATCCATGGTATAGAAATGACTGGTGACTTTTTCATTACTGACATAGTGGTAGCGGTGCAATTTGAACCAATGCCATAGAAATGACAGGTGGCTCTTATTACAGAATTATGGCAGTGTATGGATACAAATTAAATTATGGCCTAAAAATTGACTGTCGACCCTTTTCATTACTGATACGGTGGCAGCAGTGGGACACGAACCGATGCCATAGAAATAAGGGTTGTCTAAATGTTTCGTGTCTGAATTAAAAAACCTTTCGTACCTGGATCCACTGGTTGGCATCGTTTGTTCGTGCAGACCAGGCTCCACGCAGGTTACCGACTCGGGCCAGGTTAAGACGACCTCTCTTTGCACCATGGTCAGCATTATACTCACTGGAAGCTGTCAGACTTGAATCTGGGATGACATAACTCTCAAGGCCCAGAGGGTCAGGGTCATTCAAGTTGGCTGTAAGTTATTAAAAGCGTGACAATTTATAGCACAATTAAAGAAGTGGTGGTCAAATATGCAAATATGAATGAGTGGTCCAATCAGATGAACATGCAATAAGCCAATTTGAAGTTACAATCTGGGTATGAGCAAACAAAAGGTCATTTTAAGGTATCTTTAAGGCCCTCACCGAGACAACTACGTGACGTTTGCTTATTAATACACAAGCAAAACATTCTATGTTCTACAGGTAGATGTATTCCTTTGAAAAGGGGTAATCAAAAACTATTCAGAAAGACTTCAACTGTGGACAATTACAATTTAGAAATTTACCCCGGAGGACTGGGGTACATCCTAAGAGATCCTCAAAAGTTCCGTCTCAACCCTCTCTAAAAAGAATAATGTGGAGCCCGGCCTTGCGTCAATTGCCTTCTACAACACGAATTCGAAGATACAACAATCCTCAACACTCAATGCCATATATCATAAACTAACTGAAATCTTAACTTCAGTCCTTGAACAAGGACTATTCCTAACCCTTACTTTTAACCTAACCTAAAACCTAATCATAACCATAACACTAAGCCTCTATCATTGGTGAAATATATCCCAGAGCAATTGCCGCCGAAGAAATTAATGATGGAGGAAACAATGTTGGAGCGTCACTAGTTTTAAAACTTACCTGTGAGAGGTCCTTCACCGTAGATCTCCATTCGAAGACTGATGTGGCCGAACCAGCTGACAGGCATCAAGCGAACATAACGGCAAATCTGGGGCACAGGAAGAGTGTTGGTCACGATGGTGTTGCGGTCAACATTACCGGTAAAGATCTTCAAAGAAACAGGAAAATCAATCCATTTTTGAATAATTATGACTCAAGTGATTCTGCAGTTTATTGCAATCAAACCAAAGAGAATCTGATTTAGCATGCTGAATTAAGAAATATGTTTGCATCTACAGTGCCTATTTATTTGTTTCTTTTTGAATTTATTTTCTAATGACAACAATTTCAAAATTAAGAGACCTAGTAATAAAATAGAACAAAATGAAATGGATTGAACATTTTTAACTTGAAGTGCATTGCTTGCTGTAATATATTAACAAATATAAACAGTTCTTCAATCCTACCTAATAACTTTCTCCTCTTATACTTTGTGTATGCGGAATAGTAAATAGTAAACCAAACATGTTTGTCTGTTCTTGAGGTAACGATTGCATTTATTGTTGAAAGAAATTATCCTAATATCAAAATATTAAAATAGTTTTCAATGAGAAATCAAATGCCTTCAAAATTCTTCAAAAATAGAGTCCAGATAATATTAACTAATGAATAATTAGAGAACAAACTTACCCTGTCAGCTCCAGGATTTGTAGAAATTCCCTGCACGGTGTGAAAGGTCGTGCCATCAGTACTACAAGCAAGCTTGTAGCTTGTAACCCACTGGCTTACATCTTCTCGCCCTTGAGTCGCAACTGAAATGACACGGTAAAGGTCCAAAAGATCCACCTTGTAGAAAGAAAAGAATGGGACGAAGAATTCTTGATGTTTATCCTCATATTCATCTAATTTGTCTATCTCCATGAGAAAACTTTTAACCAATGATCATGCACCTATCAATGAATTTACCTTGCTTTCATACAGTTTAGCTCATCAATTATGTAACTAGTGTAATCTTATAGTAGCTTTACCTAAAGAGAGGAGAAATAAATCTACAAACCCGTAAGTCACCTCAAAAATTGGCGGGAAAAAAATTGTACGGTGTAAGTGACTTTTTCATTACTGACATGGTGGCAGCGGTGGGATATGAATCCATGGTATAGAAATGACTGGTGACTCATTTATTGCTGACATGGTGACAGCGGTGGGATATGAATCCATGGTATAGAAATGACTGGTGACTCTTTCATTAATGACCTGGTGGTAGCGGTGGGATATGAAAACATGGTATAGAAATGACTGGTGACTCTTTTATTGCTGACATAGTGACAGCGGTGGGATATGAATCCATGGTATAGAAATGACTGGTGACTTTTTCATTACTGACATAGTGGTAGCGGTCAATTTGAACCAATGCCATAGAAATTACAGGTGGCTCTTATTACAGAATTATGGCAGTGTATGGATACAAATTAAATTATGGCCTAACAATTGGTTGTCGACCCTTTTCATTACTGATACGGTGGCAGCAGTGGGACACGAACCGATGCCATAGAAATAAGGGTTGTCTAAATGTTTCGTGTCTGAATTAAAAAACCTTTCGTACCTGGATCCACTGGTTGGCATCGTTTGTTCGTGCAGACCAGGCTCCACGCAGGTTACCGACTCGGGCCAGGTTAAGACGACCTCTCTTTGCACCATGGTCAGCATTATACTCACTGGAAGCTGTCAGACTTGAATCTGGGATGACATAACTCTCAAGGCCCAGAGGGTCAGGGTCATTCAAGTTGGCTGTAAATTATTAAAAGCGTGACAATTTATAGCACAATTTAGGAAGTGGTGGTAAAATATGCAAATATGAATGAGTGGTCCAATCAGATGAACATGCAATAAGCCAATTTTTAGTTACAATCTGGGTATGAGCAAACAAAAGGTCATTTTAAGGTAATTTTAAGGCCCTCACCGAGACAACTACGTGATGTTTGCTTATTAATACACAAACAAAACATTCTATGTTCCACAGGTAGATGTATTCCTTCGAAAAGGGGTAATCAAAAACTATTCGGAAAGACTTCAACTGTGGACAATTACAATTAAGAAATTTACCCCGGAGGACTGGGGTACATCCTAAGAGATCCTCAAAAGTTCCGCCTCAACCCTCTCTAAAAAGAATAATGTGGAGCCCGGCCTTGCGTCAATTGCCTTCTACAACACGAATTCGAAGATACAACAATCCTCAACACTCAATGCCATATATCATAAACTAACTGAAATCTTAACTTCAGTCCTTGAACAAGGACTATTCCTAACCCTTACTTTTAACCTAACCTAAAACCTAATCATAACCATAACACTAAGCCTCTATCATTGGTGAAATATATCCCAGAGCAATTGCCGCCGAAGAAATTAATGATGGAGGAAACAATGTTGGAGCGTCACTAGTTTTAAAACTTACCTGTGAGAGGTCCTTCACCGTAGATCTCCATTCGAAGACTGATGTGGCCGAACCAGCTGACAGGCATCAAGCGAACATAACGGCAAATCTGGGGCACAGGAAGAGTGTTGGTCACGATGGTGTTGCGGTCAACATTACCGGTAAAGATCTTCAAAGAAACAGGAAAATCAATCCATTTTTGAATAATTATGACTCAATTGATTCTGCAGTTAATTGCAATCAAACCAAAGAGAATCTGATTTAGCATGCTGAATTAAGAAATATGTTTGCATCTACAGTGCCTATTTATTTGTTTCTTTTTGAATTTATTTTCTAATGACAACAATTTCAAAATTAAGAGACCTAGTAATAAAATAGAACAAAATGAAATGGATTGAACATTTTTAACTTGAAGTGCATTGCTTGCTGTAATATATTAACAAATATAAACAGTTCTTCAATCCTACCTAATAACTTTCTCCTCTTATACTTTGTGTATGCGAAATAGTAAATAGTAAACCAAACATGTTTGTCTGTTCTTGAGGTAACGATTGCATTTATTGTTGAAAGAAATTATCCTAATATCAAAATATTAAAATAGTTTTCAATGAGAAATCAAATGCCTTCAAAATTCTTCAAAAATAGAGTCCAGATAATATTAACTAATGAATAATTAGAGAACAAACTTACCCTGTCAGCTCCAGGATTTGTAGAAATTCCCTGCACGGTGTGAAAGGTCGTGCCATCAGTACTACAAGCAAGCTTGTAGCTTGTAACCCACTGGCTTACATCTTCTCGCCCTTGAGTCGCAACTGAAATGACACGGTAAAGGTCCAAAAGATCCACCTTGTAGAAAGAAAAGAATGGGACGAAGAATTCTTGATGTTTATCCTCATATTCATCTAATTTGTCTATCTCCATGAGAAAACTTTTAACCAATGATCATGCACCTATCAATGAATTTACCTTGCTTTCATACAGTTTAGCTCATCAATTATGTAACTAGTGTAATCTTATAGTAGCTTTACCTAAAGAGAGGAGAAATAAATCTACAAACCCGTAAGTCACCTCAAAAATTGGCGGGAAAAAAATTGTACGGTGTAAGTGACTTTTTCATTACTGACATGGTGGCAGCGGTGGGATATGAATCCATGGTATAGAAATGACTGGTGACTCATTTATTGCTGACATGGTGACAGCGGTGGGATATGAATCCATGGTATAGAAATGACTGGTGACTCTTTCATTAATGACCTGGTGGTAGCGGTGGGATATGAAAACATGGTATAGAAATGACTGGTGACTCTTTTATTGCTGACATGGTGACAGCGGTGGGATATGAATCCATGGTATAGAAATGACTGGTGACTTTTTCATTACTGACATAGTGGTAGCGGTCAATTTGAACCAATGCCATAGAAATTACAGGTGGCTCTTATTACAGAATTATGGCAGTGTATGGATACAAATTAAATTATGGCCTAACAATTGGTTGTCGACCCTTTTCATTACTGATACGGTGGCAGCAGTGGGACACGAACCGATGCCATAGAAATAAGGGTTGTCTAAATGTTTCGTGTCTGAATTAAAAAACCTTTCGTACCTGGATCCACTGGTTGGCATCGTTTGTTCGTGCAGACCAGGCTCCACGCAGGTTACCGACTCGGGCCAGGTTAAGACGACCTCTCTTTGCACCATGGTCAGCATTATACTCACTGGAAGCTGTCAGACTTGAATCTGGGATGACATAACTCTCAAGGCCCAGAGGGTCAGGGTCATTCAAGTTGGCTGTAAATTATTAAAAGCGTGACAATTTATAGCACAATTTAGGAAGTGGTGGTAAAATATGCAAATATGAATGAGTGGTCCAATCAGATGAACATGCAATAAGCCAATTTTTAGTTACAATCTGGGTATGAGCAAACAAAAGGTCATTTTAAGGTAATTTTAAGGCCCTCACCGAGACAACTACGTGATGTTTGCTTATTAATACACAAACAAAACATTCTATGTTCCACAGGTAGATGTATTCCTTCGAAAAGGGGTAATCAAAAACTATTCGGAAAGACTTCAACTGTGGACAATTACAATTAAGAAATTTACCCCGGAGGACTGGGGTACATCCTAAGAGATCCTCAAAAGTTCCGCCTCAACCCTCTCTAAAAAGAATAATGTGGAGCCCGGCCTTGCGTCAATTGCCTTCTACAACACGAATTCGAAGATACAACAATCCTCAACACTCAATGCCATATATCATAAACTAACTGAAATCTTAACTTCAGTCCTTGAACAAGGACTATTCCTAACCCTTACTTTTAACCTAACCTAAAACCTAATCATAACCATAACACTAAGCCTCTATCATTGGTGAAATATATCCCAGAGCAATTGCCGCCGAAGAAATTAATGATGGAGGAAACAATGTTGGAGCGTCACTAGTTTTAAAACTTACCTGTGAGAGGTCCTTCACCGTAGATCTCCATTCGAAGACTGATGTGGCCGAACCAGCTGACAGGCATCAAGCGAACATAACGGCAAATCTGGGGCACAGGAAGAGTGTTGGTCACGATGGTGTTGCGGTCAACATTACCGGTAAAGATCTTCAAAGAAACAGGAAAATCAATCCATTTTTGAATAATTATGACTCAATTGATTCTGCAGTTAATTGCAATCAAACCAAAGAGAATCTGATTTAGCATGCTGAATTAAGAAATATGTTTGCATCTACAGTGCCTATTTATTTGTTTCTTTTTGAATTTATTTTCTAATGACAACAATTTCAAAATTAAGAGACCTAGTAATAAAATAGAACAAAATGAAATGGATTGAACATTTTTAACTTGAAGTGCATTGCTTGCTGTAATATATTAACAAATATAAACAGTTCTTCAATCCTACCTAATAACTTTCTCCTCTTATACTTTGTGTATGCGGAATAGTAAATAGTAAACCAAACATGTTTGTCTGTTCTTGAGGTAACGATTGCATTTATTGTTGAAAGAAATTATCCTAATATCAAAATATTAAAATAGTTTTCAATGAGAAATCAAATGCCTTCAAAATTCTTCAAAAATAGAGTCCAGATAATATTAACTAATGAATAATTAGAGAACAAACTTACCCTGTCAGCTCCAGGATTTGTAGAAATTCCCTGCACGGTGTGAAAGGTCGTGCCATCAGTACTACAAGCAAGCTTGTAGCTTGTAACCCACTGGCTTACATCTTCTCGCCCTTGAGTCGCAACTGAAATGACACGGTAAAGGTCCAAAAGATCCACCTTGTAGAAAGAAAAGAATGGGACGAAGAATTCTTGATGTTTATCCTCATATTCATCTAATTTGTCTATCTCCATGAGAAAACTTTTAACCAATGATCATGCACCTATCAATGAATTTACCTTGCTTTCATACAGTTTAGCTCATCAATTATGTAACTAGTGTAATCTTATAGTAGCTTTACCTAAAGAGAGGAGAAATAAATCTACAAACCCGTAAGTCACCTCAAAAATTGGCGGGAAAAAAATTGTACGGTGTAAGTGACTTTTTCATTACTGACATGGTGGCAGCGGTGGGATATGAATCCATGGTATAGAAATGACTGGTGACTCATTTATTGCTGACATGGTGACAGCGGTGGGATATGAATCCATGGTATAGAAATGACTGGTGACTCTTTCATTAATGACCTGGTGGTAGCGGTGGGATATGAAAACATGGTATAGAAATGACTGGTGACTCTTTTATTGCTGACATGGTGACAGCGGTGGGATATGAATCCATGGTATAGAAATGACTGGTGACTTTTTCATTACTGACATAGTGGTAGCGGTCAATTTGAACCAATGCCATAGAAATTACAGGTGGCTCTTATTACAGAATTATGGCAGTGTATGGATACAAATTAAATTATGGCCTAACAATTGGTTGTCGACCCTTTTCATTACTGATACGGTGGCAGCAGTGGGACACGAACCGATGCCATAGAAATAAGGGTTGTCTAAATGTTTCGTGTCTGAATTAAAAAACCTTTCGTACCTGGATCCACTGGTTGGCATCGTTTGTTCGTGCAGACCAGGCTCCACGCAGGTTACCGACTCGGGCCAGGTTAAGACGACCTCTCTTTGCACCATGGTCAGCATTATACTCACTGGAAGCTGTCAGACTTGAATCTGGGATGACATAACTCTCAAGGCCCAGAGGGTCAGGGTCATTCAAGTTGGCTGTAAATTATTAAAAGCGTGACAATTTATAGCACAATTTAGGAAGTGGTGGTAAAATATGCAAATATGAATGAGTGGTCCAATCAGATGAACATGCAATAAGCCAATTTTTAGTTACAATCTGGGTATGAGCAAACAAAAGGTCATTTTAAGGTAATTTTAAGGCCCTCACCGAGACAACTACGTGATGTTTGCTTATTAATACACAAACAAAACATTCTATGTTCCACAGGTAGATGTATTCCTTCGAAAAGGGGTAATCAAAAACTATTCGGAAAGACTTCAACTGTGGACAATTACAATTAAGAAATTTACCCCGGAGGACTGGGGTACATCCTAAGAGATCCTCAAAAGTTCCGCCTCAACCCTCTCTAAAAAGAATAATGTGGAGCCCGGCCTTGCGTCAATTGCCTTCTACAACACGAATTCGAAGATACAACAATCCTCAACACTCAATGCCATATATCATAAACTAACTGAAATCTTAACTTCAGTCCTTGAACAAGGACTATTCCTAACCCTTACTTTTAACCTAACCTAAAATCTAATCAGAACCATAACACTAAGCCTCTATCATTGGTGAAATATATCCCAGAGCAATTGCCGCCGAAGAAATTGATGATGGAGGAAACAATGTTGGAGCGTCACTAGTTTTAAAACTTACCTGTGAGAGGGCCTTCACCGTAGATCTCCATTCGAAGACTGATGTGGCCGAACCAGCTGACAGGCATCAAGCGAACATAACGGCAAATCTGGGGCACAGGAAGAGTGTTGGTCACGATGGTGTTGCGGTCAACATTACCGGTGAAGATCTTTAAAGAAACAGGAAAATCAATCCATTTTTGAATAATTATGACTCAATTAATTCTGCAGTTATTTGCAATCAAACCAAAGAGAATCTGATTTAGCATGCTGAATTAAGAAATATGTTTGCATCTACAGTGCCTATTTATTTGTTTCTTTTTGAATTTATTTTCTAATGACAACAATTTCAAAATTAAGAGACCTAGTAATAAAATAGAACAAAATGAAATGGATTGAACATTTTTAACTTGAAGTGCATTGCTTGCTGTAATATATTAACAAATATAAACAGTTCTTCAATCCTACCTAATAACTTTCTCCTCTTATACTTTGTGTATGCGGAATAGTAAATAGTAAACCAAACATGTTTGTCTGTTCTTGAGGTAACGATTGCATTTATTGTTGAAAGAAATTATCCTAATATCAAAATATTAAAATAGTTTTCAATGAGAAATCAAATGCCTTCAAAATTCTTCAAAAATAGAGTCCAGATAATATTAACTAATGAATAATTAGAGAACAAACTTACCCTGTCAGCTCCAGGATTTGTAGAAATTCCCTGCACGGTGTGAAAGGTCGTGCCATCAGTACTACAAGCAAGCTTGTAGCTTGTAACCCACTGGCTTACATCTTCTCGCCCTTGAGTCGCAACTGAAATGACACGGTAAAGGTCCAAAAGATCCACCTTGTAGAAAGAAAAGAATGGGACGAAGAATTCTTGATGTTTATCCTCATATTCATCTAATTTGTCTATCTCCATGAGAAAACTTTTAACCAATGATCATGCACCTATCAATGAATTTACCTTGCTTTCATACAGTTTAGCTCATCAATTATGTAACTAGTGTAATCTTATAGTAGCTTTACCTAAAGAGAGGAGAAATAAATCTACGAACCCGTAAGTCACCTCAAAAATTGGCGGGAAAAAAAATTGTACGGTGTAAGTGACTTTTTCATTACTGACATGGTGGCAGCAGTGGGATATGAATCCATGGTATAGAAATGACTGGTGACTCATTTATTGCTGACATGGTGACAGCGGTGGGATATGAATCCATGGTATAGAAATGACTGGTGACTCTTTCATTAATGACCTGGTGGTAGCGGTGGGATATGAAAACATGGTATAGAAATGACTGGTGACTCTTTTATTGCTGACATGGTGACAGCGGTGGGATATGAATCCATGGTATAGAAATGACTGGTGACTTTTTCATTACTGACATAGTGGTAGCGGTGCAATTTGAACCAATGCCATAGAAATGACAGGTGGCTCTTATTACAGAATTATGGCAGTGTATGGATACAAATTAAATTATGGCCTAAAAATTGACTGTCGACCCTTTTCATTACTGATACGGTGGCAGCAGTGGGACACGAACCGATGCCATAGAAATAAGGGTTGTCTAAATGTTTCGTGTCTGAATTAAAAAACCTTTCGTACCTGGATCCACTGGTTGGCATCGTTTGTTCGTGCAGACCAGGCTCCACGCAGGTTACCGACTCGGGCCAGGTTAAGACGACCTCTCTTTGCACCATGGTCAGCATTATACTCACTGGAAGCTGTCAGACTTGAATCTGGGATGACATAACTCTCAAGGCCCAGAGGGTCAGGGTCATTCAAGTTGGCTGTAAATTATTAAAAGCGTGACAATTTATAGCACAATTTAGGAAGTGGTGGTAAAATATGCAAATATGAATGAGTGGTCCAATCAGATGAACATGCAATAAGCCAATTTGTAGTTACAATCTGGGTATGAGCAAACAAAAGGTCATTTTAAGGTAATTTTAAGGCCCTCACCGAGACAACTACGTGATGTTTGCTTATTAATACACAAACAAAACATTCTATGTTCTACAGGTAGATGTATTCCTTCGAAAAGGGGTAATCAAAAACTATTCGGAAAGATTTCAACTGTGGACAATTACAATTAAGAAATTTACCCCGGAGGACTGGGGTACATCCTAAGAGATCCTCAAAAGTTCCGCCTCAACCCTCTCTAAAAAGAATAATGTGGAGCCCGGCCTTGCGTCAATTGCCTTCTACAACACGAATTCGAAGATACAACAATCCTCAACACTCAATGCCATATATCATAAACTAACTGAAATCTTAACTTCAGTCCTTGAACAAGGACTATTCCTAACCCTTACTTTTAACCTAACCTAAAATCTAATCAGAACCATAACACTAAGCCTCTATCATTGGTGAAATATATCCCAGAGCAATTGCCGCCGAAGAAATTGATGATGGAGGAAACAATGTTGGAGCGTCACTAGTTTTAAAACTTACCTGTGAGAGGGCCTTCACCGTAGATCTCCATTCGAAGACTGATGTGGCCGAACCAGCTGACAGGCATCAAGCGAACATAACGGCAAATCTGGGGCACAGGAAGAGTGTTGGTCACGATGGTGTTGCGGTCAACATTACCGGTGAAGATCTTTAAAGAAACAGGAAAATCAATCCATTTTTGAATAATTATGACGCAATTGATTCTGCAGTTAATTGCAATCAAACCAAAGAGAATCTGATTTAGCATGCTGAATTAAGAAATATGTTTGCATCTACAGTGCCTATTTATTTGTTTCTTTTTGAATTTATTTTCTAATGACAACAATTTCAAAATTAAGAGACCTAGTTATAAAATAGAACAAAATGAAATGGATTGAACATTTTTAACTTGAAGTGCATTGCTTGCTGTAATATATTAACAAATATAAACAGTTCTTCAATCCTACCTAATAACTTTCTCCTCTTATACTTTGTGTATGCGGAATAGTAAATAGTAAACCAAACATGTTTGTCTGTTCTTGAGGTAACGATTGCATTTATTGTTGAAAGAAATTATCCTAATATCAAAATATTAAAATAGTTTTCAATGAGAAATCAAATGCCTTCAAAATTCTTCAAAAATAGAGTCCAGATCACTGGCGTACTGGTGGGGGGGCTTGGGGGGGCGCCAGCCCCCCCCCAAATAAAATTGAACCATGACCAAGTAAAGAAAGAGAAGAGAAGAAAGAAGGAGAAAAAAAGAAGAAGGAGAGGAAAGAAAGGAAAAGAAAGAAAAGAAAGAAAAGGAGAAAGAAAAAAAAAGGAGAAAGAAAAAAAAGGAGCAAAAGGAAACATAAGAAAACAAACAAAGCAAAACAACACAAACGAAAGAGAGGAGAGAGAGAGAGAGAGAGAGGGTGGTATTAAGAGCCTAAGAGAAGATGGGTGGGAGTAAGAGAGCAAAGGGAATGTTCGGTGGAGTCGCCACGTCGAAGGGGCAAGAAAGATACGCATAGATAATTATGTTGCTGTGTCGGGTCCGCTGTGTCGGTATTCTTGCTCTATCTAGCTCGTGTACTATATCAATTTAGAAGTTTGAAGTCGGTGAGATGTTTAATGTCGGTCGGCCGGCAATTTTTTATCTCCCTACAAACTGTGACTTTTTATCGGACAAAGAAAAGAAAAAATTAATTCAGACAATTTCTCTGATAATTTAATGAAACGTCAAAGCTTCCGCGCATCGCGCGGGAGGGAGGGAAACTGAATTCAGACAAAGTGAGTAGAAATCAGTACAACGATTCGTCTTCTTTCTCTCATAATTTAATTAAACTTCAAAGCTCTCGCGCTTGGCGCGGGAGGGCGAAAACTGAATTCAGACAAGGATTAAGTGTCGAAAACAATACAACGAATCGTCTTTTTTCCTTAATAATTTAATGACACTACAAAGCTTCCCCGCTACGCGCGGGAGGGGGAAACTCTATTCAGACAAGGATTAAGAGTAAAAATTTAAGGAAACGCATCGTATTTTTTCAAAATAATTTAATGAAACACCGAAAGCTTCCGCGCTTCGCGCGGGAGAGGGGGGGGGGGGGGGGTGGGGGAAACTGAATTCAGACAAAGATTAAGAGTAAAAAAATCATTTAAAGAATCGTCTTCTTTCTCTAATAATCTAATGAAATGTCAAAGCTTCCGCGCTTTGCGCGAGAGGGAGGACACTGAATTCGCGAAAACAGTACAACGAATCGACCTCTTTCTCTAATAAATAAATGAAACGTCATAGCTTCCGCGCTTCGCGCGGGAGGGGCGAAACAAGAATAAAAAGTCTAGAACGGTACAACGGATCGTATTCTTTTTCTAATAATTTAATGAAGTATCAAACCTTCCGCGCGCGGGAGGGGGAAAACTGAAAAAATAACTTAGTTCCTGGCCCCGGGTTTACAGGGTTAAATTTATAGACATTGGGACATTGGCATTAATATATTTGTCGGTAATTGGTGGCTCGTTTTGAAGGTAATCGGTGGCCTCTCCCCCCCCCCCCCCCCCCTGAAAAAGATCTAGCAACGCCCCTCATAACAACACAGTTTATACACTCGATATAATTTTTAGTACAACTGGTACCGGACCACCGTCTTTGTGCATTGTGCGGCAACGAACCTAATACAACGTCTCATTTCCAGAAAGTGGCGGTGGACTATTATTGCGCAAAATGTGGTTCTCACATTGTAAAAGATTCCTACTCTTGGAGGGGGTAGGAGAAAGCAATTTTATGTCATATTACTCCAGGAAGTGCCTGAAAAGGCGTCTAATGTGGTTCTAAAATTGCAAATGCTTCCTACTCTGGGAGGGGGTCAAAACGGTAAACCCCCTCCCAGAACCACCCCCGCTTGGTCGTTCCCCTCGCCGCTAAAGCCTCGCTCTGTCGCTTCATCAGGTTTTACATATATTTCACCCCATGCCACCCCCCCCCCGTAAGAAACTCCTGGATCCACCACTGGTGCCCATACCCATTGAGCTTCGGGGGCTCCGCCCCCTGACCCCCCTAATGGGGCTTTGCCCCTAGACCCCACTTTGAAAAACGTTCAGCGGGGCCTGCATGTTAGAGTGGGGTGATGCGGATTTTTTTTTTTTGCCAGCCCCCCCAAACGTTTTTGCTCATTACGCCACTGGTCCAGATAATATTAACTAATGAATAATTAGAGAACAAACTTACCCTGTCAGCTCCAGGATTTGTAGAAATTCCCTGCACGGTGTGAAAGGTCATGCCATCAGTACTACAAGCAAGCTTGTAGCTTGTAACCCACTGGCTTACATCTTCTCGCCCTTGAGTCGCAACTGAAATGACACGGTAAAGGTCCAAAAGATCCACCTTGTAGAAAGAAAAGAATGGGACGAAGAATTCTTGATGTTTATCCTCATATTCATCTAATTTGTCTATCTCCATGAGAAAACTTTTAACCAATGATCATGCACCTATCAATGAATTTACCTTGCTTTCATACAGTTTAGCTCATCAATTATGTAACTAGTGTAATCTTATAGTAGCTTTACCTAAAGAGAGGAGAAATAAATCTACGAACCCGTAAGTCACCTCAAAAATTGGCGGGAAAAAAAATTGTACGGTGTAAGTGACTTTTTCATTACTGACATGGTGGCAGCGGTGGGATATGAATCCATGGTATAGAAATGACTGGTGACTCTTTCATTAATGACCTGGTGGTAGCGGTGGGATATGAAAACATGGTATAGAAATGACTGGTGACTCTTTTATTGCTGACATGGTGACAGCGGTGGGATATGAATCCATGGTATAGAAATGACTGGTGACTTTTTCATTACTGACATAGTGGTAGCGGTGCAATTTGAACCAATGCCATATAGAAATGACAGGTGGCTCTTATTACAGAATTATGGCAGTGTATGGATACAAATTAAATTATGGCCTAACAATTGACTGTCGACCCTTTTCATTACTGATACGGTGGCAGCAGTGGGACACGAACCGATGCCATAGAAATAAGGGTTGTCTAAATGTTTCGTGTCTGAATTAAAAAACCTTTCGTACCTGGATCCACTGGTTGGCATCGTTTGTTCGTGCAGACCAGGCTCCACGCAGGTTACCGACTCGGGCCAGGTTAAGACGACCTCTCTTTGCACCATGGTCAGCATTATACTCACTGGAAGCTGTCAGACTTGAATCTGGGATGACATAACTCTCAAGGCCCAGAGGGTCAGGGTCATTCAAGTTGGCTGTAAATTATTAAAAGCGTGACAATTTATAGCACAATGAAGGAAGTGGTGGTAAAATATGCAAATATGAATGAGTGGTCCAATCAGATGAACATGCAATAAGCCAATTTGAAGTTACAATCTGGGTATGAGCAAACAAAAGGTCATTTTAAGGTAATTTTAAGGCCCTCACCGAGACAACTACGTGATGTTTGCTTATTAATACACAAACAAAACATTCTATGTTCTACAGGTAGATGTATTCCTTCGAAAAGGGGTAATCAAAAACTATTCGGAAAGACTTCAACTGTGGACAATTACAATTTAGATATTTACCCCGGAGGACTGGGGTACATCCTAAGAGATCCTCAAAAGTTCCGTCTCAACCCTCTCTAAAAAGAATAATGTGGAGCCCGGCCTTGCGTCAATTGCCTTCTACAACACGAATTCGAAGAAACAACAATCCTCAACACTCAATGCCATATATCATAAACTAACTGAAATCTTAACTTCAGTCCTTGAACAAGGACTATTCCTAACCCTTACTTTTAACCTAACCTAAAATCTAATCATAACCATAACACTAAGCCTCTATCATTGGTGAAATATATCCCAGAGCAATTGCCGCCGAAGAAATTGATGATGGAGGAAACAATGTTGGAGCGTCACTAGTTTTAAAACTTACCTGTGAGAGGGCCTTCACCGTAGATCTCCATTCGAAGACTGATGTGGCCGAACCAGCTGACAGGCATCAAGCGAACATAACGGCAAATCTGGGGCACAGGAAGAGTGTTGGTCACGATGGTGTTGCGGTCACCATTACCGGTGAAGATCTTTAAAGAAACAGGAAAATCAATCCATTTTTGAATAATTATGACTCAATCGATTCTGCAGTTAATTGCAATCAAACCAAAGAGAATCTGATTTAGCATGCTGAATTAAGAAATATGTTTGCATCTACAGTGCCTATTTATTTGTTTCTTTTTGAATTTATTTTCTAATGACAACAATTTCAAAATTAAGAGACCTAGTAATAAAATAGAACAAAATGAAATGGATTGAACATTTTTAACTTGAAGTGCATTGCTTGCTGTAATATATTAACAAATATAAACAGTTCTTCAATCCTACCTAATAACTTTCTCCTCTTATACTTTGTGTATGCGGAATAGTAAATAGTAAACCAAACATGTTTGTCTGTTCTTGAGGTAACGATTGCATTTATTGTTGAAAGAAATTATCCTAATATCAAAATATTAAAATAGTTTTCAATGAGAAATCAAATGCCTTCAAAATTCTTCAAAAATAGAGTCCAGATAATATTAACTAATGAATAATTAGAGAACAAACTTACCCTGTCAGCTCCAGGATTTGTAGAAATTCCCTGCACGGTGTGAAAGGTCGTGCCATCAGTACTACAAGCAAGCTTGTAGCTTGTAACCCACTGGCTTACATCTTCTCGCCCTTGAGTCGCAACTGAAATGACACGGTAAAGGTTCAAAAGATCCACCTTGTAGAAAGAAAAGAATGGAACGAAGAAATCTTGATGTTTATCCTCATATTCGTCTAATATGTCTATCTCCATGACATAACTTTTAACCAATGAGCATATGCACCTATCAATGACAATACCTTGCTTTTATACAGTTCAGCTCATCCAAGGGCATTATCTAAATTAGAATTTCTCCACATTGATGGTTGAAATATCGATCTCATTTCTGAGTAATATCGAACACTTATATTAAAGCCCTGAAAAAGGAAAAAAAACTTGGATGTGAATAATTTGTAAATATGGCAATCTCATAGTAGCTTTACCTAAAGAGAGGAGAAAAAAATCTACGAACCCATAAGTTACCCCATAAATTGGCGAATGAAAACAAATTTGTACGGTGTAAGTGAATGGTGCTATAGAAATGTATGGTGACTCTTTCGTTACTGACATGGTGGCAGCGGTGGGATATGAATCCATGGTATAGAAACGACTGGTGACTCTTTCATTGCTGACCTGGTGGTAGCGGAGGGATATGAACCCATATGCCATATAATGACTGGTGACTCTTTCATTGCTGACATGGTGGCAGCGGTGGAATATGAACCCATATGCCATATAAATGACTGGTGACTCTTTACTGACAAAGTGGTAGCGGTGGAATATGAACCCATGGTATAGAAATGACTGGCGACTCATTCATTGCTGACATGGGTGCAGCGGTGGGATATGAATCCATGGTATAGAAATGACTGGTGACTATTACATTGCTGACATGGTGGCATCGGTGGAATATGAACCCATGGTATAGAAATGACTCTTGACTCTTTTATTACTGACATAGTGGTAGCGGTGGGATATGAACCCATGGTATAGAAATGACTGGTGACTCTTTCATAACTGACATGGTGGTAGCGGTGGGATATGAACCCATATGTCATAGAAGTGACTGGTAACTCTTTCATTACTGACATGGTGACAGCGGTGGGATATGAACCCATGGTATAGAAATGACTGGCGACTCATTCATTGCTGACATGGTGGCAGCGGTGGGATATGAATTCATGGTATAGAAATGACTGGTGACTATTTCATTGCTGACATGGTGGCAGCGGTTGGATATGAACCCATGGTATAGAAATGACTGGTGACTCTTTCATTACTGACATAGTGGTAGCGGTGGGATATGAACCGATATGCCATATACATTACTGGTAACTCTTATTACAGAATTATGGCAGTGTATGGATACAAATTAAATTATGGCCTAAAAATTGAATGTCGACCCTTTTCATTACTGATACGGTGGCAGCAGTGGGACACGAACCAATGCCATAGAAATAAGGGTTGTCTAAATGTTTTGTGTTTGAATTAAAAAACCTTTCGTACCTGGATCCACTGGTTGGCATTGTTAGTTAGTGCAGACCAGGCTCCACGCAGGTTACCGACTCGGGCCAGGTTAAGACGACCTCTCTTTGCACCATGGTCAGCATTATACTCACTGGAAGCTGTCAGACTTGAATCTGGGATGACATTACTCTCAAGGCCCAGAGGAACAGGATCATGGCCATGGCATTGGTCTACTACAGTTTGTATAAAAAAAGTGTACCCGTTTTTGGTAGTTTCAAATTTAAACGTTATAATTGTTTTACCTTGAATAACTTTATGTTGTGAAGAAGAACTAATACCGTGTCTAATGATACCAATCTAAGGATGACTGAACAGCACTGTACGCCATGTTTAGCTCGGATCGATCGGGATTGAACAGAAAAAAATGGGGGGAAATACTTTCGTATAGCCTATGGGCCAGTGAATTCAATCGTTAATTGGTCCATTGGCATTGCGATTGCAATTGGCTGAAAGTTGTATCGCATATCAGCGTAGGCGAACCAATAAACTTTTACCACCGGCATGATTTAATCAGTTGTAGAGGCATGTTTCTAAGAATAGCCACACTGTAATATAGCTTATTTGCTGCCATTTGTATGCAGTTTCGTGTGCACCAGGTAGGGTTAGGGTTAGGTTTAGGGTTTGGGCTATTTTAAGAGACGTATAGCTCTACTGCTGATAAATTAATGCCTACCCGTTCAGTTGGTAAAACTAGAGTACGGTAGTGCAACATGTAAATTTGTAGGACGTAGATTTCAAAAAGTACCATCATGGTGGGTTTACCATCGTTCGGTACAATGATTACCATTACCTAGGGTTGGTAGCAATTTGTACAAAGAGCCATGATAACCATTGTACTACCATGGTTATTTGTCCAAACGTCCATTAACCATTGGAACCATGGTTAACATTATTCTCCCCTACCACGGTTACCATGGTTATTGTTGGACTACAATTATTCTACTGGGCATGCGTCCTCCACTGCACTGCACCATATGTTGTGAGTGTGATGTACAGATTTGACCAAAAAAAGCCATTAGCACATTATTAGTTCTGAAGCCAAAACTCTAAAATGTATTTGTTGATTAACATTTAGGAGACTGTCTATGTTGTAAAAAGCTTTCAACGTTCTATCTTAATTACGAGAGTCGCGTACAGAAGGAAAAGGAAATTATCCAAATATAATTAATATCTTCTCATCTATGATTTTTCCTCATTTGAAAAGTAAAGGTTTTTGTTATTGATTTTAAAATTCTTTACAACTAAAGCTTGGTGCATGATACGTATATACAACTTGAACCGGTACGTCACATTTTCAAGAAAACGGGAGCGCCCATTTCATGCTAAAAGGCAAAAAATACCTTCAGTCATATAACTCTTGTACATTTTCATAAGGAATTTTGTACATCAAAGGGCACTATGGCATCTCATTTTTCTGAATGCCTTTGGGGTGAGGTTTCATTTAACCACCGTGCCGTAGACTTGGATATACGTTGTGAACGTGATGATCTACACTCATTCCTCTGCTGTGCATATTTGACAGGAAAGCATGCACCATTTTAGTTCTAAAGCCCAAACTCTAAAACGTATGTGTTGATTAACATTTAGGATACTGTGCTGCGAGACGCTTTCACCATGCTATCATTTCAGAGTCGCGTAGAGGAGTAAAAGGGACTAACATGGAATATTTAAAGTGAATTGACATTTGGTCTACAAGTTCGTCTCCTACCCAATTAGTCTATTTCCATTTTGTCTACACCAAGCCCGTCTACTCTCAACATGGTCTCATTATCATTTAGTAGATACTTATCATTTGGTTTAATGACCATCTAAGCTACTAGTCATTTGGTCTAATCTCCAATACATCTACTACCCATTTCGTCTATCATTCATTTGGTCTAATTGCCAGTCGGTCTAATTGCCAGTTAGTATAATGCCAATTTTGTCTATTATATAATCATAAAGATGAACTAGTTGTAGACCAAACAGCTATCAACCATATTTTAGACCCCGAAGTGTAACCACCGTGCAGCATAGAAGGCACGAGGGAAGAGATCCACAAGGATTTGTGGGATGGGGTGGGGGCTATAGCACACACACATCTGTTCGTGTTCTAACTCAGGTTGCTCATGGATCCCACATTATGAGATATTTGCTCTTCAGGGCCTGTTAATTGACTCTTTTATATGTTTAATTTGTGCAAATCATTGAAGTACTATTGTCCAGCACCTAGCGGAACGGTTGTATCATTGTGTATTTTTTGACATAAAAGTATGACATTTTGCATATTGTTGATAAGGTGTCAATGTTGAATAATATTGGATATAATAGTAGACCGGCCCAGACGTGATTAAACAAATACTTTGGACGGCATTTCGGGGATAATGCATAGCATGCATGCTAAAACACTCGGCAAAAATCCCAAGGAATAAGATTGGGGTGGACGCAACACGCATTTTTAAAATATACTAAATAAGTAATATTTTGCTCAATATTTGAATAATATGTATAATAAACCTGTTTAATATAAATTCTAAATTTCATATACATGGCCTTTTCTAAAATTATAATGTTTACATTTTAATAGCGGCCGTATACAGTGGTCACACCTACCACAAACTTTAAGGCAAGCAATTACATTCTGATAGCCAAGCTTAGGTCCTAACCAAGAGAAAAAACTTTATTCGATTGTGTCTAAGGGGGTGGGACCCATTTCAATGTTTAGCCAATGGACTAATGTAGCTCATTCTATTGCCGTACGGTACATGTACTACTCAAAATGCGCCTCCGTAAAAAGACAACAATTAATATCGGATCATACAAAATGACTTATCCATCACGTTATCTGATCATTTCTTTTCTTTTCTGTGTGTGGCACAACAACTTATATTATTTGTTTAATCAAGAAAACGTGTTTCATTGGAGAAGATATAGTATGTAAAAAACTTTGAAATATAGATAGTTTTTTATAACCCAATATTTTGAGTAAATCACACTTTTATGTTTCATTACGCCATACACAATATATGTGTGTAATATCCAACATTCAAATCTACATGTATATTAACCAGGTTTGAAACTTTATACTAAAAATAAAATGTTATCAATTGCAAGCTGCTTATCAGTTAATACATATTTGGTCAAAAACGAAAATCAAGATTTTTGACATTCTCTCAAGTTTTGAGCCAAAAATGACATTTTTAGTAAAGAAAAACGCGCGTGGCACCTACCAATTTTTAAGTCCTTTGTATTTTTGCAAGAATTTTAGCATGGATGCCATGCATCACCCCAAATGTCATGGAATCTTTTTGTAAAGCCCCTTATTTGCTAATGTTCGACCGGTCTACCACAAGGCCATATCAGATTTGGCCCCTGATAAATTAAAATATTTCGGGAGATTTCCTCGCCTCAACATTTTCGGACAATGTTTCAAATGCCATTTTTCTAATGAAGGGCCATCTTATGTATCAAAGTCGATTCCACAATTGGAGGAGAATACGTTGTTCTGTTTTTTCTTGCGGTTTACTCCGGGGTTTACTCTCATGAGTGCAAGATGAAACCATTTAGTTTGTCTTTATTCACTGCTATTATTCGATTATAATGTTATACATGTAATACCAATCATCATCTTCAGTATTGCTGAATAGCTTCATTTTATTTAGAGAATTTTAAAGGGTGAAAATACTCACAAATCTAAAGAGTTTATATATATTGCTTGCTTGACTATCACTTTATGAGGATTTCTCGTCAAAAGAAATATTATGCACATACTTATAATAATATTTCTTAATTAAATATAATGTATTCCTGTTATTATTATTATTATTGTTATTATTAGTAGTAGTAGTATTAGTAGTATTATTATCATAATATATTATTATTATTCAGGGGCGTAAATCTGTACCGAGGAGTGGGGGGGGGGGGGGGACGATATACTAGCACGAGCACACGCCCACACTAATTTACGCAGGCGCGCGCGATCGCGCACGCACAAACACACAACACACACACACACAAACGCACGCACACACACGCACACACACAAACGAACAAACAACAAACACTAATAGAGAAAGAAGACGATTTGCTGTACCGTTCTCGACTTTTAATCCTCATCTGAATTCAGTTCCCCCACTTCCCTCTCGCACGAAGCGCGGAAGCTATTACGTTTCATTTAATCATTAGAGAAAGAAGACGATTCGTTGCACCATTCTCGACTCTTAATTTCTTTAAAAAGGGGGTGGGTTTTTTTCTCTATCTCTTTTGACTCCTGAGAAATGTAAAAAAGGGGGTTATAAAATATCTTGAATATCATAGAAAAATTGATCAAATCCCGGGATCAAATTCCTGAAATTCCTGCTAGCTTTGAAAGCTCATTCAGGATTATTTCATTTTGAAAAGTAAAAACATTGGCCCCCCCCCCAGTCCCCCTCGATCGACTAGAGCTCACCTGAAATGGGGGGGGGGGTGGTACATTTAGCACTGTTCCGGATTGGGGGGGGGGGTCTCCAAGGCAGGAAAAGCCAGCGAAAAGCCCGTGAAAAGGGGATTCAGAAATGTTGGCAGTCCTGAGATAGTGTGGGGGGGGGGGTGCTTTCAAAGGGAGGGAACGAGCATACGCGTACCCTAAATAACACTAAGTGGGGGGAGCCGGGCATCTACTGTACATATATGCACTTTTTAAGCGCTCGCGCGCTGGCGCACTTTACGTCTGGGCTATAATAATACCTTGCAAAATAACGAAAAATTATTCTGAAGTTTATGAAGAGCTTGTTCGCGCACGTCGCGCAACTACTCTTAATGATCGTGACATACTGTATACGTGTATGCTATACAGTTATACATACATAAAAAAAACTAATTTCTCATGCATTATGCTGAAATTGAAACAATCACATTTTTTCTTCTTCTTCTTCTTCTTTTTTTCTCTCTTTTTGTTTGTAATATCAGGGGGGATGTTTGTATAGGCCACCCCCCTACTTCAAGCCAGGGGGGATGCAGCCCCCCCCATCACCCCCCCCCCCCGATTTACGCCCCTGTTATTATTATTGTCAAATGTCAAACTGTCAAATGTCGGATCACTAGAAAGATTATTAAAAAAGAACAAAAGCTTACCAATCATCATCTTGACAAGGAGAACACCCAGAACCACCTTAGCTGTCGCCATCCTGGTACCTAAAATACAAGTACCATAGTAATTAGAACATCATCATCTTCATCATTAGCATCAATATCATTCGAAACCGCGAATGCTCACCTAAAATGATTTCATCGAAATGTGAAATCCAAATTATTTTGTCGTTAACATCATTCTTCCTGGCATACCTGTTTGATTGTAAATAAACAATTCAATAAATATATATATAAATAAATAAATAAATAAATGTAATTTGCGAGTATTGTTAGGGGGTTCTAGCTGCTTTTTTAACTTTCTTAACTCGTAGAACTCGGTTCTCCTTACTTTGAACGTGTTTTCAATGCTTTACCTTTGCGTAAATCAAGCTAGATTTTTCTATAAATAGAAGGTATTGAATGAAAATTCTTTAAAAGCTCTATTTTATAGAATTTCATCTTGTTCACATGATGCTACCTAGCTAGAGCTGGGGTAATATTGGACCGCCATGAGCACCTTCCACAGTGGATAAACGAGTGCTATGTCGTAATAAATATTGATTATTAAAAAGAAAAACTGGAACTTATTTAGTGCTATCTTATATTTAGCATAGGTTACGGCAGGTTCCTAACTCAGTAGCTTATTATTGACTCTAAAAGTTTATGAGCGACTCACCTTTTGACAACCCTCTGAAGCTCACTCCAAAGTGTGATTAATGTTAGAATTCAGAACACTCGTATTTATCCGTCAAAGTAAATACCAGCAACGTTACTAGAGAAAAACATTGATTGTAAGAGGCGATCGGTTTAGCGGTTACGATCACTTCAATTTGACTATGAAGGACATTCTTCTTTTCTTTTCTCTTTGATTTTTGCGAGCGTGTTCGAATTTTCATTATTTTCATTGTCTACTTCCTTGTATGAAAGAACAACGACCTCTAGAAATGAACTGATGGAAATAGAAGAGAGAGAGAGAAAGAGAAAGTGTGTGATTAAATTAATCAACTTCGAAACCTCACAATGATATAAAACTAGAAACTTTTATTTGTAGAGCTGATCCTATAAATAATATGTTATCTTAATTTGGACGTCTACACTCTCATGAAGTTATCTTCTATTATCTTCTATCTGCTCCAAAACCTTAGGTTTTGCGAGTACTTGCCTCGAATGCGATCACAAAGACTTCTAAAAAAAGAAGGAATCAACCTATTAGGCAATTTCAGTAATCGTGCATGTCACAATATGAAATGTGTTATATAGCTTATACTAATGGGTAACTGAACTATTGTTTTGAGGTACTGTGTTTAAATAAGTAAATAACATGAAATTCATATTTATATCTTTCTCATTTTCGGTAATAAAGGTAAATAGAGAGATCAGTACATTAAAATAAATAATTAAGAATATAGAAGGAGGCGAAAACCCGGAGTTCAAGGATTGTGTTGGAAAGCACATTACAAATAAAGACATTCAAGTTGCTGTAAGCACATCATCATATAAATATGTTTCTTGTGTCTAAATAAGAAATCGATTGTAGACAAGAAGATGGAGAAAGACTAAAAAGAAAGTCAGGCATCGGAGGCTAAGTTCACGTAAACTACATGTTGACAAGTAGATTGTCTATATTGTTTCGAGGTTTCTATACTAAGAGGTGTCTACGATTACACCCTCATAGCCTTCAGCTGATATCCCGGATGTCTTCAAGATCGAATTGGCGCCACCATAAAGGGTCTAGATATCTCTTGACCTCAACACGCCAATCAAAAGGATCACGCGACGCAAAGCTTCAACCTTTTTACTTGAACTTGATTAATGCTTTATTCCTTAAACTTTTGCTGGTAGCATAGTGAGTGTATGTCATCAAAGGTGTAGAAAGGGGGGTTAATTGACAAGGGAGAGGAAGTAGGAAACAATGCGATCGCAAGGATTTTAAACAAATCAACGTAACGACATGTCAATAGCCTGGTACGCCATCTTTTGTAATGTGCGAACATTATGCCTACAATGACATATCACAAAATTTGAACATGATTTCTTTAGGCAATATAGGCTTTTGAAATTGCATTTGACTTGATTTTATTTTAAGTCTGTGGGATCGTGTTAAACGTACAAGGAAGATGTTGTAACCCCCTCCTTAATTCGACAGTCTTGTTGTCTTGAGCTTTACCAAGCTAGTAATCTGACACCACACTGTTGCCCTCTCAATAGGTGGAACCATGCTACGCCACTCTTTGTCATTTCAATTATATTATTTAGGGCCTCTTCCATAGATATTTGCAATTTAACTCGACAAAGAGAAAACAAACATTTACATTATTTTTTCGATTCCATTTCTACCAACCAGAATCATCCAAATAGAACATACGTTTCATTTATTACCAATTTTGTGTAATTGGCGGGGGGGGGGAGGACCCTAATTCCATTTTGTAACACTGAAAGTGCTCTAATTTAGGCCTTACTTCTTTTGTGAAAACATATATATAAAAACTTTATATAAGAAATGTCGGGGGTAATGTTTGTGGAATAAACCCCTCTCATCTACAAATAGTCTTGTCCAATTTAGCCGACACTTGGTGAAAACCTTGCGGCAAATCTACGAAAGTTCGCGTGATTTTCCGCTTTCAGTTTATAAACATTGTGATGAGTACTAGTTTTGCAAGAAAATGTGTCTAAGGTATTTTCAGGCTTTTGAGGCAGTCAGAATGTACATATAAATACAATTTATGATATCAACCTTTTTTAGTGTCCAAATATTATTATACAAAATTATGATACTGTTTAAATGTTTGTTTTATTTTGTAAGACTGTAATAGTTTCCTTGTACATTGTTAAGATATCTTATTAAACAAACACAAAATCAGCATATGACTTGTGATTTCTGTTTCGAACAGTGATATTGCGATTAGTTTTGTGAGTTTTTAATGATTTCTTGAGAGTGATTCACACACACCCACACACACTTTTGCACATATATTTTTGTTTAGCCCATAGCACTGGGTTGCACCTGCATATGCCTACATGTTTAAAGGGGAAGTCCATCCTGAAATTAAGTTAGTTTTAATAGGAGTAGAAAAATGAGAGAAACAAGTCAGTGAAAGTTTGAGCAAATTCCGATTAAAAATAAGGAAGTTAGGATTTTTTAAGTTGTGATCAATCAAACACAAATTGGCAACTCTATGACGTAAAATGGGAGCTCAACTTCCATTTGCTTAGTACTAAAAAAATCTAAAATTTTCATTTTCCCTCAAGAAAAATTTCAACCATACATGCACCCTAAATATAATAATTGCAAATATGTTCTTTATACTCCCCCTGCAAGGAACAAATATATATTCCGTCATCAATAACGAAGAAAACATGATTTTATGGAATATTATGCACAAAGCAAATGAAGGAGAGCTCGTATAATAAGTCACAGAGTTGCCAATTTGTATTTGATTGATCACAACTTCAATAATTCATAACTTTCTTATTTTCATTCAGAATTTGCTCAAACTTTCGCTCACCTGATTTTCTTATTATTCTGCCTCTATCGAAACAAACTTATTTTGGGGGTGGACTTTCCCTTTAAGACAGTGTACAACAAGACACACTTATGATATTCCTAGTTTGAAATTTTAGATCATGAAGATATCTCGTTGTATGTGAAGTTATAGCCAATATGTTCCTAATGTTTTGGCTTGTTCAGGGATTAACCACCATCACCAACAACCAACATAAAGGCAATCCATCAAAATTTATCTTGTATATTAAAAAATTGTAAGAAACAATTCTCTTAATTTAAAAAACCAATCAACCATACAGAAGCTATGTATTCCTAAGATCTCACAGGAATAATGTGAAAGTGTATAACTCATCTTACTGAATTGGACATGTTTAATATCTTATGTGTATGTTTGATTAAAGACTAAGGAATTAAAGTACTGAAACAAATGAAAACGGATAAAGTCTGCTCTCTTCCATTGAAAAGTAGATTTATTAGAAGGATAGTACAGTATCAGGAATCCATATGGAGTATATACGCCATTTACCCTCCACAATAGACTATTACATAAGATATAGAATGAAGAAAAAAACATTACAGAGACTAGTTTAGCTTTATATCCCTCAATTGTGAGTGAGGTTTGATGATACTAACAATGTGACAAATTATCAGTACCATGAATAAGATTTGGCCATGTCTGTCAACTTGGTATACCATGATTTAAAAAGCTGTAAACACCAACATCAAAATCAAAAAAATAATTCATCCACTTTAAACTGCTTATTATTGGGTGGTACATCATACCTCATACATTAATGTATCATGAATAAGACTGATGTTAATACTATTGTCACATATTTAATTCACAAGATATATATGATCTATACGTACGTTGTTTTTTCTATGTTCACAAGGACCCGACCATTCCCCTATAAAATCGAGACATCAATATAAGGACACGGATCTATTTAATGTACTTTAATGACTAACTTTAGAGAAATGGCATAACAGTAACATACTGGAAAACCAAACATAATCCCCATAAAACCCTCAAATAATTTCAATTTCAGTTATATATATATGCGAATAATCAAACACTCGACATAAATTTGGAGAACAATTTCATCATATTTCAAAGTTATTAATGTACATGTAATATTTTGATAGCAATTAATTAGGTAAAGGAAAACCCCGGTATAAAACATATAACTTAAAACATGTAACATCGTAATTTTACGAAGAGACAACGCTATTATATTATTGAATGTGTGAGTTTCCTAATGTCATATATAATGTGTACTTAATTTCTATATTGGGGTTACATTCGCACTTGCCTCTCTTTTCTTTATTTTTAATTTTTAATTTTTGTTATTCTTGATTTGTTACTCCCTTTATTTGTTCTTATGCTATATATTTTACCAGTCTTCTGATTGCATCAGTTGGTTGGGCGAAAGGACCTTTACGGTTACAGTGGTTAAGTTTCCTCTTCTCTTCTCTGGCCGCCAAATGATACACTCAGAATATTGCTACCAAAATTTGTATTTGTATAACTGTTGTCATGCTAACTTTTTAATCATCTTGTTTATATTGTGTCATCGTTATATTTCTTGAAAGTGCCGAATGAATAAGTATAAGAATAAGAATTAATAGATTAAAGTTCATCGAAATTCTTCATTTTGATGTATCCATTAAATCAAGGAATGAAATTGCTAATGATATCCATCGTCAGGTATAATTCCATCAATTGAATCTTCTGATCAGGTCTGCCATGTTGATCATTCACACTAAAAATAAACAGACATTTACAATTTTTCAATGTTCGTATACATATGAATGATAGAATAATGAACTAGATTGACCACAAACTGCCTGTACTGTAAACAGTAGTCTTTACTAGTTAAACTACAAAGTAGATTACGGCTATGATTCGCAGTAGTTCAAAATTCTTTCGGAAATGAATGTTCTACATCCACACAAGAACCCCTCCCCTGGACAACCTACCCACCAGGACAATGCACCGTTGGACATGTATCCCTACAGACTACTCTGATTTTGCCTATGATCCCGTGGAAAACGTACACACTACGAGGATGCACACTTGGACATGTTTCCCCACATAATACCCTGTCTTGGTCTACTATCCCCTAAACAACCTACCCACAAGGATGATTCACCCTTGGACATGTATCCCCATAGACTGCTATTCCTTTGTCTTCCATCACCTGGACTACTTACTCACTAGCAGGATGTACCCTTTGAGATGTATTCCCACAGACAACTATGTCAGGGGACGGGGGTACATGCAAAGAGATCAACAAAAATTCAATTTCAACCCTCTCTAAAAGGAACAATGTGGAGCCCTGCCTCAGGTCAATTGCCTTCTACAAAACTAATGTACACCAATTGTCATATATCATATGTTAACCGAAATCTTAACTTTAAATCTTAACAAGCACTATACCTAACCCTAACCTGAAACCCAGTCATAACCATAGCACTATGCGTCTATCATTGATTAAATAAAGCCTAGATCAGTTGTCGCTGAACAAAATACTGATGGAGCAAAACAATGTCGGAGTATCACCACCTTTAAAACTGACCTGTGAGAGGGCCTTCACCGTAGAGCTCCATACGAAGACTGATGTGGCCGAACCAGCTGACAGGCATCAAGCGGACATAGCGGCAAACCTGGGGTACAGGCAGAGTGTTGGTCACGATGGTATCGCGGTCAACATTACCGTTGAAGATCTTCAATGAAAAAGGGAAATTAACCAAATTTTGAATAATTATGACTCAAATGATTCTGGAATTGTTTGCAATCGAACCAAAGAGAATCTGATATAGCATGCTAATAAAATGTTAGTTTTGCTTCTACATTACCTATTCATTCATTTCTATTTAATATTATAGTCTGGTTACATCAATATTAATTTAAGAGACCTAGTTATGGAATGTAAAACATAATGTAATAGATTTATGAGGTCTGCTTCAAGTGCATTTCTTGCTCTAATATATATACAAATATAGAAAGTTCTTTAATTCAACCTAATAGTTTTCTCCTCCTTTACATTGTGTATGCGGAATAGTAAATAGTACACAAAAAATCAGGTAGATATTGCCTTTCTCTTTATTTATTTTTCATTGTAACATAAAAATATTATAATGTTTTCAATAAGATATCAAATGTTTTAAAAATTCTACAAGAAAAGAGTCAATGTCATATCTAGAAATGATCAAACAGAGCACAAACTTACTCTGTCAGCGCCAGGGTTTGTACAGATGCCCTGCACAGTGGCAAAGGTTGTGCCATCAGTACTACAAGCAAGCTTGTAGCTTGTAACCCACTGGCTTAAATCTTGTCGCCCTTGAGTCGCAACTGAAATGATACGGTAAGGGTCCAAAAGATCCACCTTGGAGAAAAGAAAAAAATGGGATGAAGAATTCTTATCGTTTATCCTCATATATCATCTTTTAACCAATGAGCATGTTCCAAAATGTGTCAACTCTATATTTTTTTTTTTAAATAATAAAAACGGCTACTTTCTTTGCACCTATCAATGGCATTACCTTGGTTTCAAACAGTTCTGCTTCAACAATGGCAATACTTGAATGATGCATTGATGCTTTAATTGACGATCTCATTTCTGAGTAATGTCGAAAAATACAATAATGTCTTTAAAAAGGACTATGGCAATCTTATAGTAGCTTTACTTATACCCATAAGTCACCTCAAAATGTGGACAATAATAATAATTTTAACAATGTTAGTGAATGGAGCCAATGAAATGATTGGTGACTCTTTCATTACTCACATGGTTGTAGCGGTGGGATATGAATCCATGGTATAGAAATGACTGGTGACTCTTATTATTGACATGGTGGCAGCGGTGGGATATGAATCCATGGTATAGAAATGACTGGTGACTTTTTCATTACTGACATGGTGGCAGCGGTGGGATATGAATCCATGGTATAGAAATGACTGGTGACTTTTTCATTATTGACATGGTGGCAGCGGTGGGATATGAATCCATGGTATAGAAATGACTGGTGACTCTTATTATTGACATGGTGGCAGTGGTGGGATATGAATCCATGGTATAGAAATGACTGGTGACTTTTTCATTATTGACATGGTGGCAGCGGTGGGATATGAATCCATGGTATAGAAATGACTGGTGACTCTTATTATTGACATGGTGGCAGCGGTGGGATATGAATCCATGGTATAGAAATGACTGGTGACTCTTATTATTGACATGGTGGCAGCGGTGGGATATGAATCCATGGTATAGAAATGACTGGTGACTCTTATTATTGACATGGTGGCAGCGGTGGGATATGAATCCATGGTATAGAAATGACTGGTGACTCTTATTATTGACATGGTGGCAGCGGTGGGATATGAATCCATGGTATAGCAATGACTGGTGACTCTTATTATTGACATGGTGGCAGCGGTGGGATATGAATCCATGGTATTGAAATGACTGGTGACTATTATTATTGACATGGTGGCAGCGGTGGGATATGAATCCATGGTATAGAAATGACTGGTGACTCTTATTATTGACATGGTGGCAGCGGTGGGATACGAATCCATGGTATAAAAAATGACTGAAGACCCTTTAATTAATGATACGATAACAGCAGTTAGATATGAACCCATGCTATAGAAATAAGGGTTGCCTAAATGTTTCGTGTCTAAATTGGGCTTAAGAAACTTTTCTTACCTGGATCCACTGGTTGGCATTGATTGCTAGTGCAGACCAGGCTCCGCGCAGGTTCCCTACTTGGGCTAGGTTAAGACGACCTCTCTTTGCACCATAGTCAGCATTAAACTCACTCGATGCTGTCAGACTTGAATCTGGGATGATATTACTCTCTAGGCCCAGAGGGACATGGTCATTCAAGATGGCTGTAAGTTAATGCATGACAATGTATAGCAAGACGTAGGAAGTGGTAGTCAAATAGGCAAACATGAGTGAATGGTCCAATCAGATGGACATCCAATAAACCAGTCTGTAGTTACAATCCTGGCATGAGCAGATAGAGGTCACTTGTCGAAAATTGTAAGGCCCTCACCGAGCCAACTACTTGATATTTGCACATTGATACACAAGCAAAGCATTCTATGTTCTACAGGTAGATGTATTACTTTGAAAGGAAATCAAAAGCTATTCAAGGAGACCTATCCATGTTTAAAAACATCTGTGAATATATATGGATGCATTTTGAACCAGTTTACTTTAGAGGTAAGTGCGGCCATTCCTTGAATGGTGTCTAAACCACAGTAAAATAACCCTTTTGGTCTGGGAACACCTGACTGTATGCCATAGAAGAGATAGGGTTCAAGCTACTACTGAATGTTATGTATTAGGTGTTCGATTATTTATGGGGTTGAAATAAGGACTTTAGTTCATCAAAGTGCTATTTTCATCAAAGCATGTTTCATAAAACCTTCATTCCCTCACCTGCAACAGGTCCAGCTCCAAGGAGTTCCATACGCAGGCTGATGTGTCCAAACCACATGATGGGCAGTACTCGGATGAAACGAGTAGTCAATGGAGGGGAAAAGTAGTTGGTCACTTGGGTGGTTCGGTTACTATTTCCAGTGAAGACCCGAAGAAACGTCAAGTACGAAGAGTACTTCGAATGGTATGGATGAAACAATTTCGAGGAAATTTTTTTTCAACACTGTATGCCCACAGACGAAAGGATCAGTTACGTAGCTATAATGCTTAGACATCTACTCCAATCCCTACAATACCCCCTAGTAGGAGGGCAATGGGTGTATATATCAATAAGAGGGTAGTCACAGAGGAAAGAGTTTTCCTAATTAAAGCAAGTATATGTCGTTTTCTCAGTGAAAATGATTCTGAGTGGGGCAGATAGTTGTCCTTGAGTGGTTTTAGGGTGGTAATCTTGGAGTAGTTAACCAGATACTTGTAATACCAGGGATCCACAAATATTTATGAAGCTTGTAACTGGAAATTTCTTTTTTGCTTTACAGATCTGTTTGGGTGACGATATTGTGAATTCAGTGATATTCCCCTCTGCTCTATTTTTGTGTCAATAGCAAATTATCTCCATTGATGTTCTATTGTTTGTTAGGTAGAGGGAAGGGCGTTGTTATACTGTACCTTTTCTTGCTGAGAGGCAGCAATTTGAATGATGTTGAAATTAATTCCATTCAAGCTATGAGCCACATTATAGCTGGTGACCCACTGGTCAATATCAGCCCTCCCTTGGGTGATGATTCCAGTAACACGATAGGTCCCCCTCAGGTCTACTTGAAGCCACTGACTTCGATCCAGGGTAAGTGCAGACCAGCCGCCTTTAAGAGCTCCGCTCGCTGGAAGATTTAACCGAGCTCGACGTGGGCCAGTGGTGGAATCGTATTGTGAAGAAGCTGTGATGGCGCCTTCAGGGATGCGGTAGTCTTCAAGTCCAAGTTGTGCAGACAAACCTGTCGCTGTGATATGCATGCAAAATGACCAATTATGGCTTATTTTGTGTTAATTCACACACGACATGAGACACCGCTGCGGTTTAAAGAAGGCAGGATATTTCACGTATAAATGATTAGCAACTAAAGGATCACATAAGTATCTGCGTACAGCAAATTTTAAGTGCCATACAACATTACAAATGAATGAAGCAAACATTCTAATAAGTTTTCAACATTTTTAGAACAATTTAAAAATTTAAAATTTAAATATAAGTCAACCTTAAGTTTACATCAAAGAGGACAAGTAATGAGGCTCTCAAGCTTGGGTCCATATATTATTTGTTAAAGGTAATACAAAGTTTTGGGAAATTTTGAAGATTGGGTGGATATAGTGATTCTTCACAATTTTGATTTTTTTTGGATGCCCCTGTGGATGTATTATAAGCACTAGAAAATTTAGCTCCTAAAACACTTCTGTTTTCGGGAAAAATTTAATATAACAATTTACCGGTGCTCCCGGTAAATTTTTAATAAATTTCAAATAGCGCCTACGGCCCTATAATGGTAGCTGCAACCACGAAATTCTCAGAATATGTAGTTGTGATATATCAATTCCAAACGGGAATGGTTAATCGGTCGATTTTAGTCAAGAAACATTGTTTTATAGCTTAATTAATATCTTGACCTTGAGAGGGCGCTATACAACATAAAGAGTTTATTATTTATAATTTTATAACTTTAGACTCGATTTCAACCGCGACAACGATCACTGCATATTGTAGGATCGCATATGCTTCCAATATGTTCATTTGAACCAAATTCATGACCCCATAACTTTGTATAACCTTTAAGGTGTTTGCAGATTCTAGGAGTTTCCTTCTTCTGCTCTCCCTTTCTCTTTTCTCTCTGCATCTATCTTACATTCTGGATCTCAATGTTGCTACATGTATATATATATATATATATATATATATATATATCATGTTCAAACCTCTCACTTGTCAATTTTAACGCAATACTTTTGTATGTTGTAAACAAATCCGATTATGTTTAGATACTTGATTACGTGTTGGAATGAAGGCAGGCCATGTTTGTTAAATTGTCCTATTCTGGGGGGGGGGGGAGGATGGGGGGGGGGGGGGGGGGGGGAGGGGGAGGGGGAGGGGCGGTTGTGTGTTTGAGTGTTAGTATGAGAGTGTTGATGGTGTGTGTGTGAGGGGGGTAGAGCGGATTGTCTCATTCCTCGACTTTGCTCCTCCAACCTGTTGGTGGTCTGGAGTTTCCATTGTATTTGTGGATGGCTTATTTTTACTCCTTTTTCTTCATTTTGGGCCCAACGAAATGTTCAGTTTCTGATGCAATGCTATCTTGAGGTTCTTGCTTTTGTACTTGTAATTGTTATAATTCTGATTATTTCTATTACGTGTACTCTGCCTTTTTTTCCCAGATCATCTCGATCGTTTGTAAATATCTTAATTTGTCATTAATTTCTTTTGTAACACAGCATTTGTATTTTTTGGAAAGTTTGTATATGTTATGATTTGATTTCTTAATAAAAACATAAATTAAAAAAAAAGTTTTCCCTATTCTTTCCCATGCCGCCTGCTCAGGTGCACAAATTCCAAAAGGTGATATAATCAATACCATACTCTGTGCATACGATTTTATTTGATCTACGAAACAAATTCAGTAATATTTTTATGCTTACTCACTTTTAAATTGTTTGTTTGTATTATATTTTGGTGAAGCGTCAAATAAATGATATTAATCTTAATAATAATCATCATAATAAAATTCTCTTGAGCTCACTTCTGATAGGACCCTGTCCAATGAGTTCCCATCTCATGCTGATGTGAATGTACCAAGTTACAGGTTGGAGACGGATGAACCTAGCTGTCACAGGTGGGCTGATACCATTTTCAACTAGGCTATCTCGATCAGAATTACCAGGAAAGATCTTGAATGTAACAAATCAAATCAGAACGGATACTGAAGGAAAAATCTCTTCATTTCTTAGTTGTCATGAGTAGAAATAAAAATGTACACATGTTTGTTGCTCCTTCTTCTTTTCCGCCTCTCTGCCTTTCTGCTTTTTATCCCTCTATTCTTTCTCTCACTTGCTCTTCCTCTCATTTTCTATTTCTCTCTCTCTCTCTCTTTTTCTCTTCCTGAAGATGGGCCATGAATGATGTTTTAAACAGTCTCACCTTTGGTCCTCCCTCACAGTTTTTCACCAAGGTCCAGTCCTTACCATCGATGCTGTAAGAGATTTGATAAGACGTGACCCACTGGCGAAAGGTAGAGCTGTTTCTGCCTTGTGTAATGACTCCGGTGACCTCAAAGGCAACCCGGAGGTCAACTTGTATCCACTGGTTTACATCACTCGTCTGTGGAATAGAGCGCATCACAATGAGTGCATGCATGGATGAACTGATCTTGTGATTATATGCGGGTCAATATGAGCAGGGCATACTCTTTGACAGGTAATGTAAATATGCAAATCCTATATAATGGATGAGGTGGTTATTTCATTTTCATCATAAACAATTATGAAACATGATTGTTCTACACCTGTGACAAAAAAGTGAGGCTTAATGGGCAGCTTTGCATAAGAAATAATGCTATCAATGCATCACCATGAATCTGTGATTGGCACATGAAGTTCCATCAATCTATTTTCGGACTTTCCATTGACATATCTTCGTTTATGTACTTATGCGGTTCAACTTTCAATACTTAACACAAATGAAAGCAAAAGAACATATGGGAAAGCAATGACTCTGCTCACGACAAAAGCCTGAGAGTACATGTAGTTTTGCAATCTCGAATGATAGGACAGTGGGATGTAATCTATATACTCACTGAGGCTATCCAGGCTCCCCCTAGAGCTCCCTCTTGTGGCTGATTGAGTCTAGAGTGAGCGACGCAATAGTTGCTATCCCAGCAAGATGACGCAGAGAGACTGGTAGTATCTACGCGACCATCTTCTATGCCAATCTTTCCGAAGACAGGAGCAACTATGATACATCAGAGGATTTTATACTTCAATGCTAGAATCAACATGGTATCAAGCAAAGACAAGCATGATAATCTTCTATCTAATTTTTATCAAAATTCGGGATTCAAACTAGTATTAAGAAGTTCCTCAAATTTTTCTGGCAACACTTAAAAGTTAACTATGGAGTCATATGGAATTACATAATTTTTATATCGAAACAGAATGCCTTTCAGCAATTTTGATATCATACACCTAACATAATGATTTTAACTTTTAAAAATGGTATGTTTATCATTTACTCTATTTAAAGAACCACATTGGTACTTGGTTTTAATGTTCATTTTCTGATATAATGATTGACGAGCAAAGTTGTAAGTTAATTCCAAGGTGAGGATTCTCCACTTCTATTTAACAGTTGGAGAACTATCTCACAAACCCATTATCAATCCTGCCTCTTCTGATTTATGGTACTTCAAAAACTGTTTTGATTTTGAAGAATGTTTTCAGAACAGTATTACTTCAAAAGCGTCAAGAGAATTTTATTTTATTTTCAGCCTCCAGACCTTATATCCTTACCATTGATGGGCCCTATTCCAAGCAGCTCAAATCGCATGCTAATGTAACTATTCCAGGTTTGAGGAAGGATACGGACGTAGCGAGCGGCGACTGGGAGTGGAAGCATGTTGATCACTAGACTATCTCCGTCGCTATTCCCTGTGAAGGTCTAAGAAATGAACATTGCAAGTCTTGTCATGATACTTGACCTTGGTTTTTTTAATATTGGACAAATGGAATTTTTAATTTTAAATGGATATATTAGTAGGCCAATGCACCACAAGCAATTGTTTACTATAAATATTTAGGAATGGCTGTTTTTAATAAAATAAAGGTCATTTAATTAAGTACTTGTCTCTGACATTAATTACTTTGCAATACAGTCACACATTAAACCTTTGTGGGATGGACTTGGTCCAAAGAAAATGAACCATACTCACATATAGTTCTATGTTTTAGCAAGACAGCAACTGACGAATATATTTAAAAAACAATGTTCATCATTGGTAATCAGCAGTTGAAATAATAATAATATTCAGTTCTAGTATAGCGCATATCAAACTATTATAACGCCCATTTGCGCTTTCAAAGAGCCTTTTGGAAAGTATTACCCTAGCTTTAGCTCCGGCAGGCGTTATAACGGCGCACAGTGCATTTCAAGGAATAATCCTACCACTTACCCATTTACCTCGCCTGGGTCGAGTGTGGCAAATGTAGCTCAATGTCTTGCCAAAGGACATAAGTGCCGCGGCGAGACTCGAACCGCGGACCTTGTGATCCACAGTCCGGTGACGTATCCACTCGACCACGACAGAACTGACATACAACATAACTACAAAGCATGGGGCAAGACATTGAGGCAGCACCAGATCAAGTGGGGCACGTACCAGTCTTAATTGGTTGATGTAATGTGAATTAACAATGAAGGCCATGCAATAGTTACTGGTGCATTATGGGGTCAATACGTCTGTATATTTCCACATTCTCCTTCCCCATCTTCCCCTCCCCTCCCCCCCCCCCCCACACTCCGTGAACGGATCGAATACCATGCATGTTACCAAAATGTCCGGTAAAGGGGTACTTTTCACACACCAAAGTCCGGCTCGTACATATACAAAAAAGACTTTACACACCGGACTTAGGGGGTGTTTTCAAAAGAGGGAACATGCATATGCGAACCCTAAATAACACTGAGTGGAGGGGCCGCCCCCCCCCCCCCTCCACACACAAATGTTACATTGTAGCTACAACACCCAAAAATGAAATTACTTACAACAATAGCTCCATTGTCATCCACTACATCTATCAACGCTGACTCTCCATCTGGTCTGTACTGAAGCCTGTAACTAGTCACCCATTGATCGTAATCTGATCTACCCTGAATCACAATCCCACTGAGTTTATAGTCAGAAAGAAGGTCCACCTGAATCCATTGAGAGTCGAGGGTTATTGCAGTCCAAGCATCCGTCTTTCCACCACCTTCAAAGAGAAAGGGACTTGAGTGATTAATCATTTAGTTCTTGTTTATATACTTATTTGTTCATTTAAGCATTCTGTTCATTCTCCATTTTTACTCTGACGATTAAATTGGAAAGCTTAAAAGAATAAAATTGTATGGATTTAACAACAAAATCGCTCAGCCTTGCTGAAGGGCCCCGCTCACAAGCTTAGCTTCTAAAGGGGTCCTAAAACCATTCAGTTTATGATCGATGTAATCAAGTTAGAATATGTTGATTGATGTATTATTACCAGATTTTTTTATGTAACAGATTATATCATGCTTTGTGTGGTTTTGAATAAAATGAACTGAAGTGAATTAAACATAACCTTGAGCTTTATTTGAATACACACAGAACTCCCTGTCAGGGCATTTTTTAGATCAATATTACAAATTATTAAACATACAAGCCCCTTTTCACAGAGAATAAACTCATGTTTTTGATTATCTTTCTATGATCGCGTGTTCAATATTGTTAGCATATTGCTTTTCCTCCAAATAATACGTCACTCCACCGATGGAAAATCAGCATGCAGTATCAATTGTTACCATGCATGACCAAGAGCTGCATGTGCGTGCTGGCTTCAATCGCTGTAACGTGGCAATAGACTGCCATCAAAACTAACCTGTATATTATGTAAAGTGCACTGCTAGTATTGCGTTCAAAAACAAATTTGTATTCAAAAGTTGGATCATCTTTCAACTTGACTTTAGCCAAATTTTTGAATTAAGACTGGTCGAGACACTGTTGGATTTGAAAATTGCCTTAGCACTTTTTGTTTCATGTAGTGTATCATAACTGGTATTTGATAAGTAAAAAAAGATCTTTACAATCCTTTAAATAGCACTGTATTTTAATTTGTATGTATAATAATAATAATATTGGTTTTCTTCTGTGGTATATGAGATATATTGCTTCGGCTAGCATGTCTCTTCGACTCGTGCAATATTCGCTAGCTGAATGCAATATATCTAATATACCGCTCGATTAAATTATATATTATTTAAATGTTACTTCAATTTGAAGTGTGAATGGGGTCTCATAAACTTTTATAAATCGACTAAAAGGTAATTAAAACATGCATATATAACTAGAAGGTAATAAGTTGACGGTAGACACATGTAGGCTTCAAGACTTTGCAAACATTCGCACTGTAGCTAAATCAACTGATTAAAGTGATAAAACTGCCACTTCTCAACTAACGTTAATGTGTCTTTAGTAAAATGCATGTTAAAAAATCGAAATACATCACAATTTTGATATTGAAAAATTTAAAGAAAAAGTCAAAAGTCTTAGCACAATTGGAATATTTTCTTTAATAAAAAAATATATATTTTAAGTGAATAGACAACACTGTAATAAAAAATCTGAACCCAAATCCTAACATCATCATGTTGATGACCATACTTGCTACTTGATTGAGCCTTGCCCTGTCGGCGCAGTGATTCGAATCATGACATGTGCTTGCAGAGAGCTGGCTGTCTGCAATCTGGCCATCTTCCATTCCAAGTTTCATTGGCTCAAAACGGTTACCTGATGGTAAAAACAAAAAGAAGTTAAAAGGCTAATATGGCAAATTTATCTTAAAGCAATTCTGAATCGTTTATCATATAGACAAGTTTATTCAAATAATAAACAAATAAAAAACAAACTAATGTGGGTCAGGACTATTTTACTAATTTTTCTTTGCTCATTATTTTGCACTTCCAACGACAAAAAAATTGGGAGATATCATTTGTTTTTAGTCTTGAACAATCATTTAAAGTTTTGTTTAAATATTTTTCGTCTGTACCTAAATTCCAGATTGCCTTCAACTGTTGTAATAATTATCATACACAAAGCTACCAACTTTCACCAGAACATTCGAGTATGTTGATGGCTGAATTTATAATTTCTACCCAAACACATTACAACCCTACCGAAACCTGATCATTAAAATTCAATATTTGTACAAACCATGTTGAATTCTTCGCTATTCAATTTGAGTACCAAATCCTAAAATCTGTGCTTCTTGGCAGCTCAGATCCCAAATCACTTGTATGATTTCAACAGTCACTTGGACAAGAAAATGCAACATGTAGTGAGCATTATTAGAGAGCCTCTGTCTATAATCTGAGAGATATAACTTACTTGCCACCGGTCCTTTCCCAAGAATTTCCAATCTCATACTGATATGATTATTCCAAGTGGTGGGATGAATGCGTAGGAAACGACCAACAATTGGTAGACCAAATGCAGTTGTTACCTTACTATTGCGATCAATGTTTCCATTGAAGACCTGTAGACAAAACCATACAAATGTTGATGGTGTTTAATTCCTCCTAAGGTCTTGTTATGTTATAATAGTACTCCAATAACAATATAAATCAACAAACATTTACACAATTTATAAAAAATAATAAAAATTGTAAATGTTTTAGATAAAAGTTTCATGTTTTTCTCATCAAGGCTCCTACACATATGCTCTGGCGACAATTGCTTTGAACGATATTTCACAAAAAGATCATCAAAGATATAGGGCTAGAGTTAGGGTAGCAATTGGTTATTAGGTTAGGTTTAGGGTAAAGGTTAGGGTTATGTCTACTCAGGGGCGTACGCAGGGGGGGGGGGGGGGTTGGGGGGTTCAAACCCCCCCTTTGGTATTTTTATGTATGTAAACCCTCCTAATAAAACCTAAACCCCCCCCCTTTGTTTTTGATTTTTTGTTTTTATTTAAAAAAAAAAAAAAAAAAAAAAATAATAATAATTATACCCACGGCTAACCTAAATAAGGTGACCTTACCCCCCCCCCCCCTCAACGAAGAAAAATGTCAAATTTTGAAATTTCGAGACCAAAAAAAAAAAAAAAGTGTCCACTTACCCCCCCCCCCCCCCCCCCCCCCCCCCCCCCCCCCCCTGAGCGACTTTTCGGCTGGCTGAGTCGTTGCGATTTTTTTTTGGCCTCCAAAAAAAAAAAAAAAAAAAAAAAAAAGTCCGCTTACCCCCCCCCCCCCCCCCACTGAGCGACTTTTCGGCCGGCGCGATTTTCAAACTTTCGGGAGCAAAATATTTTAAACCCCCCCCCCCCCCCCCCTTGAAAAAATCCTGCGTACGCCCCTGGGTCTACTGATTAGCCCAGGGTTGACGTTAAGAATTTTGGTTAGTGTAGAACATTGACCATGAAGCAATCGTCATTGAAGCATAATATGTACATTCTGCTTTTCAGTAGAGCCTATAACCGGGGCCTATAACTACCTTATCATATCCATCACATCCATCACAAGTCTGGATGATATTCCAGTTTGTGCCATCTTCACCGTAGGCCACCTTGAATGCGTTGACCCATTGGTCAGTATCCTGTCGACCCTGTGTGATAACTCCAGTTAAGATGTAGAAGCCGTTGAGATCCACCTGCAACCACTGGTTGACATCGTTAGTGAGTGCTGACCATGCCCCGCCTCTAACACCACCTGTTATGGAATCAAATACTGTAAATCACTATTGACCTTTGAAAGGTTAATAGAAGACGTCTTCACAGGATTACAATTATTAAAGTATTCAAGGTATGAGTGCAGTGGTATACTGCTGGATTAAATCTCTTTACTCTCATATCACCTGCTTAGCACCAGCAGGACATTAGCATATTGGTGTGAGCTCAGTATAATAACCTTGCCTTGTCAGCAGATCCCAAAACAGCATTACTGATATCCTTGGGCAAGCTAACACCATTGTATTAATTATCAACAACAAAACACAAACAAAATTAAGCTCTTTTTTAAACTCACTAGCGACAGTGTCCAGACGTGATCCTTCTGTTCCGTGGTTACCATCGTACTGGGTTGAGGCTGTGATGGCGCTGTTAGGAATTTGCTGATCTTTCATACCCAAAGCTTTCTGGAGCCCTTCAATCTCTGTTCAAATGAAGAGAGAGAAAATTTTGAAAAAGTATGTTTCCTTTGTCAAGCCGCATTGATGCGATGGTATAAGTCACGGCAATATTATTCATGTATCTCTTTCTCTCAAAGCATACCTCTAACAAGCTTCTAGAAATGATGTGTTTTAATTACAAAATGTTTGTCTTGCGGTGGCGAAGTATACATTTTTCAACTTGTCTGTGGATGAGAAGCCACTGTAGCCCCCCCCCCTCCGAGGTGTCATATTCGAGTAGTTTAAGCACTTGACTCGAAATGCAAAGATCGTCGGTTCGATCCCCGACATGGCATCTACATTTGCCACTCCATACCCAAGAGAGAAATGGGGACCTGGTAGGAAGCCAAATTCTTTCTTTGTTTAAGTTATTGCCATATGCCCTCAAGGTGGCCATATGGTAGGAATACTCCCTATGGAGTGGAGATGGTGCACATTGTGCGTGTATTCAAAGACCCGGGTACTATCTATGAAGCGCTTTATTTCATATTATTAAAGCGCTATTATATTTGAATCTAGACTTTGGTTATTTCCCTTTCATTATCATCATCCATATACTTTACCAACATATTATCCTTTTGGACTGAATTTATAACAATAATGTAACAAAAGCAGCCATAATAAAACGATTCAGCGAACCTACTTGATGCAACAGTGCCAATAATTTCAAATCTCATGCTGATGTGGTTCGTCCAAGTCAGTGGTTCAATCCTGATAAACCGAGTTACAACGTTGGGAGAAAAGTCATTTGTCACAATGGTGTTACTGTCCGTATTACCAGTGAAGACCTAGGAGATACAAAAATTGGTGTAAACGTTGATAATCAGGACAGTGTATATGATGATTCTACACATCTGGGTGGAAAATAGGTTGTAACTAACTAATGCATATTGAATAAAAGATTTAGAAGAAGAAAAAAAAACGTGATATGGAATGATTCAGACCAGTGATAATGGTAAAATACTGTTCTTAAGTATATAATCTAGCCATTGAAGACACACTGGTGTAAGGGGGGGGGGGGGAGATTCCAATTAGTTATTAAGTGGATGACATGTGAGATCAGAAAAATCATACCTGATTTTATTATTTACTATATGGATCTATGTATCTACCTATTATTTGCTAGTTTCCTTGCTTCTTCGGTAACAGCTTCCCAAGTGGGAAGAAAATGCTGAAGCCACCCGCCTACTTTGTGTTCCAGCTGCTCGGGGCGGACCATCAAGAGGCCTGCCTTTGCTTGGACAGAGCCTTGCCACGGGTCTGACGCCCAATCCTCAAGGAGCTCCTACTGAGAGCAGGCTAATGCTGGCCACTCCTTGGCTGCGAAGCGATAGGTGCCGCCACGCGAGATAACGATGAGCTGGTGTGCGGCGGAAGGTGCCCTTGCCTTAGGCTTCTGTCTATAAAGTTGGGCCGGTTGGCGAGGATGAAGTTGCTTCGCCATCTCCGCTGTTACCCATTCAAGAACTCCTAAGGAGGAAAGTGCAAATTCCCTCCTTGAGTTCGTGGTCTGGATATCCTGTGAAGGCGAGCAAGATATCATCTGATACCATACCAGACTCAAGAATCTCAAGTTCGCAAGACCTGACCCTGAGGCTGATAAGTGACCCCAGATAGAAGGTGAGCCACATCTGGCATGGGTCTCAAAGTCACGCGCCGTTTATCCTTGGCCGTGTAGGCCTGGCTACGAAATTCAGGCCAAGTCTCAAACCCACATAGGAAATGTCCGGTGAGAATGACTTCAATTCGAAAAAAAGCCCAGCAAGTCTTGGGGTCGGAAGGCGTAGAGAGGCTTCTTAGGAGCCCTAGATGTAGACCACTGTTCAGCTACGCCCATGTAGGCTAGCTTGAAGTCGTCCGTCAGGAGGATTCCCGTGGAGGATGCCCCTTGTCTGAAGAGAAGGGAAGCCTGGGCTGCATCCGGTTGAGCCGGTGTGAAGGTCCCAGGCAAGTATTTCTCCAGGAGAGCCAGGACGTCAGCTGCCAAACCACGAGGGGTTGGGGGCTGTGCTGGCTCAACAGAGTCAACATCCTGATCATCGAAATCAGCTACGTGGGGAACCTGGTGCAAAAGGGGCGTTTGCAACCACAAGCTCACAGTCTCCTCGCAGGGAGGGGCGCCAAGCACAGCCGGGATAGGAGGGGCATCTCTGGCTAGGCGGCTCTGAACCTGCCGGGATCGAGCATTACCAGGTTCCAAACAGTATGAGAAACATGCAGGATCCTGAGGATCGGGTACCTGTAAAACAGGGCTGTATACCGGAAGGTGAAATCCGGATCTTCGAATTGACAATCAAGGGACCGGGTTGAACCGGAAAGGTTGGGTCCGAACCCGGCGAACCAGGACCGGGTTGAACCGGGTCCGGGTTCGGGAAGTCGATTCCAAGGACCGGACCGATTCCAAGGACTATGCTTTACAGCTGGCGGGGAGATGCTCTGTCTGCGTTACGGTCGCGAAAGAGATAAATTGCGGGACAGAAAAGAAAGTTGATTTTCTGCCTATATCAGTAAAAGAAATGAGGATGGAATTGATAAGAAAAGCAAATCAAAACCACGTCAAAAAGGAGAAATTCTCTGATTTGAGCAGAAGTGACTTAGCTCTATTAGACTCTCTCGGCGAGCGAGAAAAGAAGAGGACGATGGCGGGCGTTCGTTTGCGTTCGTCACCCTAGCCCTAGAAAGGCGATGTACTGGGGCTGGGCATGCGCGAATATGACGTTTTTAGTTCGCGATGGCTGCGTAGTGTAGAGAAACTAGCCAATAATAGGTAGATACATTAACTTATTGTTGTTAATAACATCTCTTTAGATCATCAAAAGAGGGGTCAGGTAATATGTTCTTTTCACATTCAATTGTCATCATGCTCTCTCTCTCTCCCTAGCTCTTTCCTTTCTATCTTTTCTGCTATGGGAGCGGAGGGTGGGCTGGCCAGGTGCCTGAATACCGACTCCATATGCTTCCACCTATAGCTCACCTTACTGCCAGCCATAATAGCATTCTGTACAGCAGTCCAGGTCAGTCCATCGATACTGTATTGCACCCTGAATGAATTCACCCACTGTAAGTGCATATTGCGACCTTGGGTCATGACCCCAGAGACCTCATGCAACTGCCTCAAGTCTGCTTGGATGAACTGGTCCTGGTTGTTTGTTCGTGCACTCCATGCGCCCGACTTTACACCATCTGAAAATTTGAAAAGCAGTGTTATCATTTGATTTTAAAAACTAACTTTATTGTCATTATTGCAAAGGTAAATCTTTGATTGGACTAGGTTATTCAATTCATTTTTTTTCCAATTTCAATTCAATTCGTTTTATTTCAATCATAACAGCATAGAATAATATATAAACAAAGTAACATGAAACAATCATAATCTTAAAATTCTGGAATTAAGAATTTGGAGACTAAAAAGGAAGTTTGAAAAACTTGTAAAGTAATAGTCCCCTGACATAAATAATACAAAACAAGAATACATGATTGTACACGTTACCGAAACAATAAAAATATATAAATAAGATACTACACATGCAACTGATAAACCTATACCTGAAATAGTCTTGGATGGTGAATATTTGGAGAAAAAACAAAATACTAAATTTCTTGGAACTATCATCAATGAAAATCTGAAATGGAGTGATCATGTACATTACGTTTCAAAGAGAGTGTCACGCACTGTTGGTTTACTGTACAAGTTAAAACATTATGTGCCTTTGAATATTCTATATATGCTATACAATTCCTTGATTCTTCCTTACATGTCTTATTGCAATATACTGTGGGCAGACTCAAAAGTATATACTGATAAAATGCTACTTTTACAAAAGAAAGCGATTCGTGTGTGTACCAATGCTGGATATCGCGATCACACTGATCCCCTATTCGCGAGGTTAAAAACTCTGAAAGTAACTGATATTAACTTTTTACAAAAAGCACTGTTCATGTTCCGTCTACATAATGATTCCCTACCTTCCCACTTCCCACCAATGTTTTGTTTGAATAGAAATATTCATACATACCCAACCAGACAATCAAATAAATACCATTTATGTAATCCTAAAACAACAATGGCTATGAAATCTATAAGACATTCTGGTCCGGATATTTGGAACTCACTGTCCGTTGACATCCGTAACTTGAAGTCAGTATATACTTTCAAGAAAAGTGTGAAATCAATTTTATTGAGCAAATATTGACAAATCTCTTAAATTAACACATGATATCATATATGTTTGTCAGCATTTCCTTGATATAGCAGGAAAATCCCCCTCCCATGCACCCTCTATCCCATTTTTTTTTTTTTTTGGTTGCAAGTCACTGTTTATTTTTTGTTATTTTCCCCCAATTATGTTCTGTAATTTACTTTACTTTACAATCGTTATGATTTTAAATGTTTCTGGGCTGCAAGCGTATCAAGCTGTCACGCTTAGGCTGTAGCCCTTCTGTATCATCACCTCTTCGAGCGTATGTATCTATGATTTACTGAATGTGGAAATGTAATTTAACTTATGTTTTATACTCATGTAAAGACATTGTCACATTATTGTTATAACCTATGATGATTCAGTAACCAATAAATATTTCAACTAAATATTTCAACTAAATAGATAAACTTTTTTTTTTCTTTTTTTTTTAACAATTTTGTTTTATTTCTCCAAATGTGTAATACAAACCATAACATACAATTGAATAAAATAAACGTGTTCAATATTGATGCTTTTACATAAACATAATTAAACACAAACCTATTTGCAGTATAATATAACTTAGCAACAAATTAAACGTATAAGTACCTAAACATAATATGTCAATTGTAAATGTTATTCACTTATATATTACAAAAAAAACTTAAACAAATCTGGAAGTAATTTTTACTGGAACAATCCTGCCCCATCCCTGCCCCTCCCTGCCCCCTACCTGCCCCCTCCATCACACAAACATACTCACCCTCTATCACACAAACATACTCACTCACCCACACACATACTCACCCACCCACCAACCCCCCCCCCCCCCACACACACACACTACTCACTTAGTGGATGTCTGCCAACATTCTCAACTAAAAAAAAAAGCATACTAAATAAGTTATCCAGGCCGCAAAATAGAATTACACTTTTAACATGCGCACGGTAGAGAAGAAAACAAATCTTAATTAATCTTAAGCTGCTCCCACTTTAAGAAATGTGATCCTAGCTTTCCCATTTTAATTGCTATTTTCTTTTCCTCATCCCTATACTTAAATATTTTTTTTTCATCTTTTCTAAAGTTGGTACTCGCCCCCCCCCCCCCCCGATCTTGACATAAATGTAACATACTTCACCATGAAAATGATAGTATTACACATTTTTATTCTATATGAACTACCTACCAACCCAACAAATATATCTCAACCAAGTGATTCAGTTGAACAATCCCTCTTTCAAACAAGTATCTATCAAATATACTTTTTCCATTTATACATATATTCCGATTATTAAAAATAATTGGATTAATAAAACCCTCCAAATATCTTAAAAATTACTTGTCTCTTGCCATGCTTGCAAAATTTCCATATAGTATGGTGGAATATCTAAAACGAGTTTAATCTTTTTTTAATTCATAATCACATAAAAAATAAATCTACCACCCACAAACTGTAAGCAATGATCAAAAAACAATTTCCATCCCAAATTTTTCTCTCCATATAAAAGACGTTTTATCCACATCATGCGCTGTATTTTAACAGACATTTCAAAATTAATCATTCTTAATCCTCCAAAGTCATAATCCTGATACATTATTGCCCGCTTAATTCTATCTTTCCCCCTCCATATAAATTCAAATGAAATTTTTGCAACTTCTTTGTATACCCAATGAGGGACAATAACGAGAGATGAAATATAATTTAATTTTGAAAGCGCATAAGTTTTTAACAAATGTATTTTACCCATAATAGTTAAATCTCTTTGTTTCTACCATACAAGCAATTTTTTTTTATTTTACTTAGAATTTCTTTATAATTCAAATCATCTTTTAATCTTCTATCTAATGAATAACTAACCCCTAAAATGTGTATTTCCTTAACCAAATTTCCAAATAAAGGCCCATCAGGTTTGTTCTCATCCTCACCCATCCACATAAAATGTGTCTTTGTTTTATTCACTTTAAGACCACTAATTTGTTCAAATGATTCAAAAATATATCGCAACCTTCTAACCGAATCAATATCCTTCAAAAATATTGTCATATCATCTGCATATAACACTTGCCTTATTTCAGATTTTCCAAATGTAATCCCTTTAATACCGTTGTCCCTCCTTATTGCATGCGCCAAAATTTCGATGGCAACCAAAAACAAATATGGCGATAATGGATCTCCTTGCCTTACTCCCCTTTCTATTTCAAAATACCCCGTGGAGTGACCACCGTTCATAACACAACTACTTATCCCTTTATATAATAATTTTACCCGAGAGCAAAATGAATCTCCAAAACCGAACAATTTCAATATTTGAAATAAATATCTTTGAGATACAGAGTCGAAAGCTTTCTCAAAAACCACTGCACACAGAAACCCTTTCCCTTGTTCCCCATAATGCATAGAATAAAATAACATGTCATCTATCAATCGTACAGCTTCCCCAATATTTCTATCTTTTATATATCCAACTTGATCATGATGAATTATTTAATTTAAACCTTTTTCATTCTTTATGCTAGAACTTTAGATACAATTTTATAATCTACATTCAAAAGCGTGATGGGTCGATAATTTTTTTTATGGAGAGTATCTTTCGCTTCCTTCTCAATTAAGGTAATAACTCCTTGTTTTTGAGATGCCGTTAATTCCCCCCTTTCGTATGTTTCATTCAATACTTCTACTAACAAATCACCCAAAGCTGATTCGCTTAGCGTAATATCCAGTCTACAGGATCACACAGAACTCGCTCTCAACTATCAATCATCATCATCATGTCAGGTCGAGGAAAAGGAGGAAAGGGACTCGGAAAGGGTGGTGCCAAACGTCATCGCAAGGTTCTACGAGACAACATCCAATGCATCACCAAGCCTGCAATCCGTCGACTTGCAAGAAGGGGAGGTGTCAAGAGGATCTCTGGTCTCATCTACGAAGAGACACGCGGTGTACTGAAGGTCTTCCTGGAGAATGTCATCCGTGATGCAGTCACCTACTGCGAGCACGCCATGCGAAAGACTGTCACAGCCATGGACGTGGTGTATGCACTGAAGAGGCAGGGTCGTACATTGTACGGCTTCGGCGGCTAAGTGTAGCAGACCTCTCTCTCTCTCTCTCTCCTGGCTAGAATAACAATAAACACCGGTGAACACACACATACGCACACACGCACCACACACACACACATTCATCGTACATTGCAAGGGAAAAAAGGTAAAAGAAAGAGTTAAGGGGAAAAAAGAAGAGACCAACTATCTCTTCAATAGAACCTTAAAGGATGATATGTTGTGCATAATGTTAGTTTATCAGTTAAAGCAAAAACGGGGAACATTAGGTTTAATAGAGTAATGCATTAACTGCGTAGAGACCTTTGGATAATGATATTTGATACATGAACGAGTATTAGACAAATTTACTGATCTATTAAGGATAAACATTTTTTTTAAACAAATTCTTTTAGGTACATAATTATTATTAACATTATACATCATAAAAGCACTTTGAATTTTATGTAGATCATTAATATTGAGTGTTCTTAAAGGGATAGTTGAGGTCTATTGCAGAGGGCGCTACACAAAATATTTTGTTGTGAGATAATGAAAAACTGAGTGTCAAATTTGAAAGAACATACAATTTAATTGACAAAATCATCTTTGTTTTATCAAAATCGGTTCAGAGACGGCTAAAATATCCAAAAATATAACGATTTCTAAGACTTGTGTAGGGTAGGTGTGGGGAATTGGAGACCCTTAAGCACATTTAGCATAATTTACATAAACATGAAAAATCTTACACATCTTTTGTATTCTCTTCAGTAACTACTCAGTCTCTTTATATTTGGTAAGAAAATTTGAGGTCATGATGTAATTCTGATTAATAAGATAACAATGATTAATGACGTCATCACCAAAGGTCTCTCATTACCTACATGTGTAGGTAATAAGGGACAATTCCAAATAAAGACATTTCTGATCAGACACCATTCATAATGTGCATTGCAACACCCATTCACAGCACACAATGGCCATAAGTTTTCTGTGATGGTTGGCACACTTCATAAACTTCCTTTTTAAAGTACTTTTTAAGAGCCACCCCTAAATATATGCATACACCACAACTTTCAGTGAATTTTTTTTTTTTTTTTTTTTATATCAGAGCAAAATTTTACGATCAAAATTTGTTACCTTGGTCAATTTTGCCAATTTTCTCGGAGAAAAAACGCATTGTAGTCTTCGAAATGAATTGGATATATGCAGTAGTGTTGTTAAAGGCCACAAATGGCGCTATAGCAATATTGGAGAGTGATGGGGTCAAGCTTGGTGGTCTCCAATTCCCTACGGTCTCCAATTCCCTACACCTACCCTACCACCACAAATATTAGATACTTTGAAAAAGCCGTTGTAAAAACGAAATAGCGCCTTTTACGTCGTATTTCAGCCAAAGCCAACAACCAGCCGGCCTATGTATTGTTATTTTTAATTAGATAATTCATTAACGGTCACCGTGTTTTTTGAAAGCCCCGACATAGCACCTGAAAAGCTCTCCGATCGCTCCTGATATGTGTGACGTCACATGTTGAACATGATTTGCACATTAAGCAGACGATGGCCCTATGTTTAATCTATTGCCTCACTCTAAACCCCGCGCATGGTATTATTTTGATTAAAAATGCAAGGTTAAAAAAAAATAAAGGAATTCTTCGCTTGTAAAAAAAAATAATAAGACACCATTGTATTGTCAGCTTCATACACCGCGGTATGCCGAGTGTTTCAAGAGGGAACAAATGCCGGCCATGCTATCATTCCGTTTTTTTAAAAATATTTTAAAGTGTTTTTTTCTTTAATTTATTGTTAATTAACCCCTATCCTGTGTGTTTAGAAACAAAATAATTTAGTTACAAGAATCGGTTTCATATCCCCTTTTGAATGGTGTAAAATTCCATCACATTTATA